AAAAGGGGGTAAGTAAAAGCTGATTGAGTTAACACCTTTATTTTCGCAATGGGGGGGCTTTGCGTGTCCCGCGGGTAGCGGCTATCAGCGATAAAGGCGACGTTGTCGTTGTCTACCGATCATGTGCCCAGCAGCAAATTTGTCACGCTTATCAGCCACCAGATAGACGGGCTCTATAGCCATTTACAAACAAATATAATATGTATATATATTCCATATATAAATAACACATAGTTGTGGCAAAAGAACAAGGCACGAGCTAATAATTATCAAAGACAACAAAAGCAATTTTATTGTTATATTTCCTTATTGGTTTTGATCATTATCTTAAAAAAAATAAAGAAGTGCGGCAAGGTAATATTTTAATATTTATTTATTCCAATTAAAAAATGTAAGTGAGACAAGGTATTTGGGTATTTATAGGGCTTCAAGTCGGTTTCTTAAAATTTGTAGAATTTGTTTATAAAATTCTAATAATACTTTATTTATACTACTTTAAAATTTAAGTGAGCAAAGGTATTTGGCAATTTTTAAGGCTTTAAAACAGAGAATATATCTTTTTAAATCGGTAGAATTTGTTTAAAAATGTTGTATCACATGATAAGTATTTATTAGCAAACTTTTTTAAGAAGTTTTAGTTCTTAGAGAAATTGATAGGAGTAGAACAATTATATAACAAAATAGGGATAAGTTATATGTATTTTATTATCAATCTGGAATAGCTTGAAATGCCTTAAATTAAAGCAAAATGATTCTACTAAATTATAGGCTCTATATACCATTTTTATCATAAAACAATAGGCTCATAAATCCTACTTTTTTATACCCTTTCAGGGTATTATAATCTTAGTCAGAAGCTTGTAACTCACGAAGGACTCATTTCCGACCCTATAAATCATATATATTCTTGATCAGCATCAACAGGAGAATCGATCTAGGCATCTCAAGAAGAAGAAAAAATATTTTAATTTTTTCAACATTTTTTAAGGGGTTACATCGTTAAAATTTTTACCAAAATTATGTCAAAAATTTTAAAGTTTTTAAATTTTAACTTAAGTATGCAGGTTTATTATTCTAATAAAAATTAACATGGGACTGCTTTCCGAATTAAAATTAATGCTTTTTTGGCTGAGATATCAGCTATTTAAATTTCGATTTTTACAAAAATATATATATTATATATAAATATCGTTTTTAAGAATCTAGCAGAGGGTTTTATAATTTTTATCAATGAAGGAGTCATTTCCGACCCCATAAATCATATATATTCTTGATCAGCATCAACAGGAGAATCGATCTAGGCATCTCAAGAAGAAGAAAAAATATTTTAATTTTTTCAACATTTTTTAAGGGGTTACATCGTTAAAATTTTTACCAAAATTATGTCAAAAATTTTAAAGTTTTTAAATTTTAACTTAAGTATGCAGGTTTATTATTCTAATAAAAATTAACATGGGACTGCTTTCCGAATTAAAATTAATGCTTTTTTGGCTGAGATATCAGCTATTTAAATTTCGATTTTTACAAAAATATATATATTATATATAAATATCGTTTTTAAGAATCTAGCAGAGGGTTTTATAATTTTTATCAATGAAGGAGTCATTTCCGACCCCATAAATCATATATATTCTTGATCAGCATCAACAGGAGAATCGATCTAGGCATCTCAGGAACAATAAAAAAATTTTAATTTTTTTTAAATTTTTTTAAGGGGTTAAATCGTTAAAAAATTTTAACAAAAAATTAGAAAAATTTTAATTTCTTAAAATTTTAACTTGGGTATGCAGATTTATTAACGTTATAAAAACTAACATTGCACAGTTTTCCGAATAAGAATTAATGCATTTTTGGCTTAGTTATGAGTTTTTGAATTTATGATTTGTCTACAAATATTTCATATGAAAATATCGATAAATATCGCATCAAAGAATGCGAATATTCTCAGCTTATTTATGATTGATTTCCGATACGATCCCATAATTCAATTGCAAACTGCAAGGTTATTATAATTTCGACTTCCTTGTTATGAATAAATAAATCCATTATTTACAAATCCCTAATTAGAGCACTTTAAAAGCTTTTAATATAAATATTTAATATTAGACTTAGTACCTCTCTCCACTCACATGATCTCCCCAACTAACAATCGTTATAAACCCCATCGAAACGATGATTTCGGGCATTTTTCTTTATCTCGAGAAGTCTCAAAATTTCCATGACGCCTGCCCTTATCTATAATAGAGGACCAACCGGGGAGCATAACATTTCAAGTTCTGCTAAATAAGACCAAGAAAAAAAGAAATAGTAAAGTAAAGTAATCCCGCAAATACTGGCAACAGGTGGAAATCGTGTCCACTTGAGCTTTGCTCAGGCAGGCAATAAAATCTCGATTTAGATTTAGATTCATCTAATCAAGTAAAGGAATATATGTATATGTATGTATATATAAAAGGGGCTGTGAGGCCGGTCGTAAAATTTAATGTGTGGTGTTAGCACGTATCAATTATGCATTTGCTGCTGCTCTCTTATGCAATCGCTTGAGATCAGCTGTTAACGTTAGTTTTCCTTTTTTGCACGCTCTCTTCTTCATCTCTCAGTCTCTCTCTTAATGACCACTCTCTTTATTTGGCTTTTTTTCGGTGCTCTTGTTGTTGTTGTTGCTGCTGACGGAGTGGCAAAAAAAGGGCCGTAAGCGTTACGTAAGCATCGTCACGAATTGTGACGTATTAGCAAAGGGGCGATAAAATATTTCGCGTGTTTGCCATTTCGTTAAACTACGTCAAAGGAAAAACAAACAACAACAAAATAAATATACATAATATTTGCTCTTGTTTTCCTTGCTAATTTCTTTGGATATTAGACCAAAAAGAAAAACAAAGAGGTTTTTTTTTGGTTCGCTAATTAGTTGCTCTCTTGAATATGAAAATTACCAAAGAGACAGACTGCAAAAAAAGTTTGTGGTTTAAAAGGTAGGCAACAAACAAATTATGTTAATTGCCAAATACTGCTTTCAGTTTAACATTTACAGCAATTATTTATAGGCAAAAAAAATAATAAGACACACACATAAATTTACATAAATAAAACGTCGACGTCAACGCTCTTTTTCGGCCGTTGGCAAGCCGCCAAAGAACAAGAAATGGGGAGTGTGTGCATAACATTTGGCAAGTGTAGAAAATATGCACAGAAAAAAATTACATTGATAATGCATTTATAATAAATTTTAATTTTCAAAATCTATATAAAGAAATTGTATTTCTATTTGCAAAAAGATGGCTCTTATTTAAATAGTTTTTTAATATTTTTCATAATTTAATTAATCGATTTTTTCTAACCGTGTAATTATTACTCAACTTAAGCCCAAAGAGAAGCACCACCGCAAAGGCTCTCTCGCGCCCTTTTGCTCTCTGACCGGATTTGTAAGTCTCTCCTCCCTCTCTCTCTCCCTTACTCTCTGGCTCCGAAAAAGGAGGCTCGTCCTGCAGGCCCTTTTTCGCGCGTGTATGTATATATGTATGAAAGCGGGCCACGGATTTCTATGGATATTGATTTTTCAAAATTTTCTTTTCTTTATATTTACCGTTATGCAATCGGCGAAAATTGCCGCCCCAAAAAAAAACGGAAAACCGACCGATATGTATGCAAATATGCAACCGCCGGTCGTTAGTGGGTGGGTGGGTGCGCTCCTCCTTTTGCTTTAAGGTCATTCGGCGGACACTTCTTCTTTGTGAGAAAGAGAAAGAGAGCGTAGTATTTTCCTTTTTTTTGGCAACAACAACACGTGACACGCGTGGGATACGAAACGCGGGAGAGTAAAAGCAGAGAGAGAGAGAGAGAGCGGAAGACTGGAGAGAACATAAGTGGCTACCTGGGTGAGAGAGAGGCCAACGCCGTGTTTTTGTTGTTTTTTGTCTTTGTAATCTTACAAGAATAAGGCCACAAAACTCAGTTTCTGGTAAGCCGGACTTGTGGAAATTTACCCAAAAAGAAAGAATACAAAACGAGCCAAGAATCCAAATGCGAAGCGTTTGAGTTCGTTAAACTCAAAGCAAACGAAAAGAGTTTTATTTTTATTCCGCGCAGAGCGAGGAATTCGCCGTTGCCAAAATAGCCAAACGAATTTCGTTTCACTTTTTGCTTTTAGTGATTATGTAATGTATTAGATAGAACATACTAACACACTCGCACACTTATCAGCGGCCAACAACAACCACAACCGAAACAATAAAACAGCGAATAAAGTTTCTTAATCGCAAGCACATGGCTGAAATTCTTTTTTTTTTTCGAGTTGCGTGACGTGTAGAGTCTGCAGAGCGAGTGTGGATGTATGTGTGTGTGTATAAGAGCGGCTTGAAACGGAATATAGGATAGCGAGGAAGCTGAAGAAGACACATCAAGATGGTAACAACAAAAGCGACGACACACTTTACAGTTATTGGAGGCTGGGGGAAACTGTAGCTAACGCGAAGGGAGGGAGGATAATCATAATATTGATGGCCAAGCGGGGGTGGGAGGAAAATACCCCAAAAGGGAACCCGGAAAAAAAGACCAAAATGGTATATAACTCACCTGTGCCTCGGCCAATTTGCGTGCGGAAATGCGATAGAGCGACATGGTAATACGATTACGAATGCGGCTCTTTGGGAGGAGAAGAAGGAAGCGTTAACACTTTCGCCTGGCAGAAAACCTCTCGCACTGAAACACACACACAGAAAAAATTGCCTTTCCCCCAGTGAAGAGTCGACTTGCTTTTAGGAAGTGTTCTTTTGGCTGAGCGAACAATTTCTTTCTCTTCTAGCAGCTGCGCGGCAACTGAAGCAAAACATCGGAGCACTATCGATGTTTGGCTATTAGTTTCAATCGATTTCTTGTTTGCCCTATCGATGTTTCGAAAAGAATTGGCGGTATTTTACACCTTACGCGTGTAGATAACCATTTTACACGTCCACCCACGCACATGCTGAAAGACCCATGGCGGCTTATTCGAATCAACTTACTTGTTTTTGGTCTTGAATGCTCTTGGGTACTACTTCTGCTAGCGGCATCGACACCGCCTCTGCCTGGGCCGGGGCTGGTTCAGTGGCGGCCACGTCCTTCTTGGACAGCAGGCGGCGGAGATCAAAACGCTTGGCATCCCAGATGGACTTCTTGGCAAAGGTACGACGCTGCAGGTGCTGCATCCAGCAGATGCTCGCTAAACGTTGCGAGTTCATTTTGCGTGTTATTTTTTTTTCTTTTTGTCAATGGGAAAGCTAACTGAAATTGTGTCGGTGAGGAAAATCTAGGGATGAGAAGGGCTGCTAATTTTGACGTTCTTTGCAATTTGACTTGATTTTGATTGAATGGAATGTAGTTAATGTGGTATTTTATCGAACTATATGGCTGCAGTATTTTTTAGTGGATTTTAGGACGGCGGCATCTGGCAACACTGTCGAGTGTTATGCAAAACTAACACACAATTTCCCATATTTTTTCTTTTCTCGTCGAGTTTTTAAGCCCGTGTAAGTTTCTTTCCCACCGAGGAAGATGCGGCCACTAATGGGTTCCACTTTGCAGGAGAGAGAGTGTCACCATGGCGACGGCCGTGCCGCATATACCCCCCAAACAGGATCTGCCACCGCCGGGCGGCTACAAGAAGATTCCCTTTGCCCGTGTGCCACCCAAGAGCTACTTCACAGGTGAGTTAGCTGATCCCCAGACCTAGATCTAGATTGTATAGCTCTTGTTCCTTGCAGGCTTCACCATGATCGGCACATATGTGGCCGTCACTGCCGTGGGACTGGGCATCTACTACCTGACCGCCAAGAAGGTGAAGCGTGAGGAGATCGAGATGCGCTCTGCCCAGAATGTCATCTTCCCCATCTTGATAGCGGAACGCGATCGGGAATTCCTGCGCCAGCTGCGTCGCAATCGGGACGAGGAGGCTGAGCTGATGAAGAATGTGCCCGGCTGGGAGGTGGGCACCTGGTACGGTGAGCCTGTGTTTAAGACATTGCCAGAGGATACCCTGGTCACGCCCATCTTCAAGGAGTTCTATGCCCATTCGGACTGGAAGTCGTATGCCAAGCGGGCTCACCTCAAGCTCTGGTCTTAAGCCCGCCAAGGATGTGTAGCTAATGCTTAACTCTATTCTATCAACTATTGTGAAAGCCTTTTTTTTGTTTGTAGACTCGCCTAAGCGCCTCTCATTAGACTCAATTACAGTCGTCAGGATTGGTCTTGAAATGGGAACTAAGAACTGTGTCTTCTGTGTGGTGTTTGTGTGGTATGGAAATGGTGGTGGCTGCTGTTAAGAGGAGGCGGAGGAGGACCTAGGAAGGGGTTGCCAGATGGCAATCCATTGGCAGTGCTCAAAAATGGCCAAAATAATATAGAAGCAGCTGCTTGGGGGGATTCCCATTAGGCCCGAAAGGAAATATAACAAAAAGGGGGTCTAAAGAGGTTTATATTTTTAAAATATATATAATTTTTTAATATATTTCAAGAGCTTAAGGAGAATTTGATCAATTTGCAATACTCTGTTGAAGAAAAATACCTAAAAACTAATAACAAAGTGCTCATCCGAAGATCTCGTCTTAATTGGTTATAGAAAGAGCTTAATGATAAGCTAAAAATCTTCTTGAGTATTTAATTATCATGAAAAATAAAGCTTTAACTGGAAAAAGAACTCCAAAGACAGGCCCAAAAGCAAAGAGAACCCAGGGTTTTCCTAGGAAAACAAGAATTCCTGGAATAACTATATATAAATCTTTGTTTTTGTGTGATTTTGTTTAGTTTTTTATTGAATTTCAACATCAATTTGTCGCGCACTTAATATTCTGCTGCTGTTGTTGGGCATTTGTGGGGTTAATTGTACAATTATCAGCGCATTAGAATTAATTATGGTTAATTTAAACGTAAGTAATTATACAATCTATACATTTCATGAATCAAAATATGCATACTGCTGGCCACAATCTGAACATAATTGAACAATATATATTTATAATTAGGTGTGTGTGTATATATAATTTGTAAAAAAAAAAATAGAGATGAAACTCGTATCCTCCTTTGGAATAGTTTGGGTTTCTTTGGGGCCAGCAGCTGCTCCTGCTCCTTTACTCTGCTCGTTTAAGATAATGTAATAAGTTGCTACAATTTAAGTGGTCCTTGCTGCTCGCTTCAGCTCCTCTATTCCGCCTGATATCGCTCATATTTATAATCATAATCGTGGTAATGCTCCTTCTTCTCTTCCGCCTCCTCCTCCGTCACCTGTACCGCCTGCTCATCTTCACACTCCTCCTGCTCTAGATCCTCCTGTTCCTCCTTGATAACAACGTAATGGACTGGTGACGGTGACAGCCGCTCCTGCTGCTGCTGCCGCCGCCGCTGCCAGTGATCAGTACGTTGCTGTGGCCGCCTCTACTTCATGTCACGGCGACGCTTAATACTGCCATCGCAGGTGGGCAGATGACGCTGCAGGAAGCCCTCAAAGACAAACTTGCGGCCACAACGAACGCAGCTGAACTCACGCTTCTCGTCCACAGCCTGCTTGTGCTGACGCAATGCCTCCGCATTGGAGTACTTGTCGCGGCAGGCATCGCAGGCATAGCGACGCTTCACCTGGCCGACATCAAAGACCACCGTGAAGTTCTGTGTGCAAAAGGAGCAGTTGAACTCCTTGACCACCACCTTCTTGCCGCCATGCTGGGCGGACATGGCCACAGCCTCGGCCTCCAGCTTGTCCTGGTGCTTGTGGGCATCAATGTGCGCCACATATTTGCTCTCCTCCACAAACTTGCGATAGCAACGAGTGCAGCGGAATGGTTGCTCGCCCGTGTGGCGCATCATGTGCTCCTTGAGGTAGGCCACCGAATTGAAAATCTTGCTGCAGACCTTGCACTTGCGATCATCGGCGGAGACCTCGTTGCGCTGGCGCAGGCAGGCACGCATGTGCAGCTTCAGGGAGCCGGCGGCACTGTAACAATTGCCACAATTCGGGCAATAGAAGGTCTTGTTGCGGGCATTCGAGTCCTGGTCGGCATTATGCTCGAGGGTGCCCTCAAATACAATCGAGGCGACATCCTCATCGTCGTCCTCCTCCTCGCCCTCGATCTCCTCATGCTCCACGGGCACGATCTCATCGAGATCATCATCTTCATCGACCTCTTCGCCTTCCTCTTCTTCCTCGATCTCATCCTCGCCATCGTCGTGTATATTGCCGGGCACAATGTGCAGAATGGTATGGGTGCCGTCGCCCTGCTCAATTGTCTCCACCTCCTCGACGGTGGTGTTCTCCACCAGCTGCTGCAGGGTTACGGCATGTCCATTCTCATCGATGATCACCTCTTGGGCATTGGCCAGAGCCTCGTGCTCGCGGTCGCTTAGCGTAACCACGGCGGTCTCTGTATCGTCGTCCTCGCCAGTGGTGTAGGCATAGGTGTACTGTGTCTCACCATCGTCGTGCTCATGCTCCTCGTGCTCGTGCTCCTGCTCATGGGCCTCGACCTCCTCCTCCTCCTCCTCGACGTCGTCGGGATGGATGACAACGGGCACATCCTCCGTCTTGACGGTGGTATACTTGACACGTTTGGCGTTCATTCTAGCTAGCTGGCTTCCTTTAATGGATATCCTTGCAGTTTAACGTATGACGTTTGACGTAGTTGAAATTTTTTCCGCTTTCGGAAAGATGGCACGCCGCCTCCTTGACAGCTGCCCCTCCTGGCCTACGACAGCGACTTGCCTGCTTATAGCACACTCCCTGCCGTGGTGCTGCTCCTCCACGGTTTTGTTTTGTTAATGCTGTTGTGATTGTTTTTGGCGCGTATAGCGGACTCCTCTTTTTTGTCACAATAGTCAACACTGCAATCGCCTTTCCTCGCGAGATCGGGTAGTTTCTTTTTTATAATATTTCACGTTGTGGCAACTTCGGCCAAGATGGTGGACACTGTGTTGCAATCTGGACGTTATCGATACCAGCTATCGATTAGGCTAAACAGCGGCGAGTGGTTTTCGCTTGAGCAAACGATTGCTTATCACTCGATATGTTCGCTTATCGATAGACGTATATCGATAGTGAGCAAGCGGGGTGGCAGCGCCGTGAGTCTGGGTCGCCTCTATTGCCGCGATTTTTTGTTTTTTAACACTTCTTAAATTTATTTAAGGTGCATTTATAGTTTCCTGGCCATTGTTTTAAATAAATTTACACTAAGTCCCACTTAGCTTAATGATTTTCAGTAGCTCTTATCTTTTTAGGATCGATATATAAGATTGATACATAAAAGTTCATTAAGTTAACTGAGTTTTTCAGGAAAAGACTTTCCAATTTTATTATTTGAATATTTTTGTAATACAAAAACACTGAATTTTATTTTAAATCGATAATAACAATCGTTTAATAATTAATTATATTAAAATAATTACATACAAACATTACGCATTTAGGAAATATTGATATTTTAAAGTCCATTTGCCATAAACGTAAGTGTATAGAGATGGCAATGTTTTAAATATTATATTGATACTTCTTAATATTATTTTTAAAAGCAAAAATTAAATAATTTCTAATTTCAAGTGTTGAAACGTTTTCATTTATTTACGTTTTATCGATAAGTGTACCAAGATGTGTTGCACAGGGTGGCAACTATTCTTTAGTTTTAGTAGTTGGCGCGCATTCAAAATAGAGATAGTTATGATAAGATATGGGGTAGAACTTAAAACCAACTAAAGAATTTTTTCTTCTTGAGAATATTTGAAAATTCAATGATAAAATCGATATTTATGTTAGTTATAGTTTGGAATAAATAAATATTTGGTTAATTTTGGTACGTTTTCAGGACACGTCCCTTGGTAAACCCAACATTGTTTAATCAAGATTTAATCGGAAATACCTTTCCATTTTCCAATTATATTCCATATGTAAGTGTATATATTTTACAAAATTTATTTAGTAACATTACATAATCAAATACAAATGAGAACCGGGAGAAATACCCGCTATCACAGGTAAATGCATATAATTTTAATATTTTTATATATTTTTCAATGATGACGAAGCTATATCTTTGTGAAACCCCCTATTTGCAGTATTATAAGGAAAGACGTGACATGCGGTGAAGATAAAGATGTCAGAGAAAAACCGTTGCGACCATTTTCGCCAATGCACATTTATCCATTTGTCACGTCGCCAAGCAATTTTGGTCTCGGATGCGATCAACGGTCACTAAATAGCGCCTTAAATCTAAAATTAGAGCTGCTAAATATACATATATGTGGGGAAATGCAATGCAAAATAACCTATTGTTCGACTTTTCCTCCCATCTTTGTGGCATTCGTCACTTCTTGACAATAAAACAGCCTTGAACCAATTATCGGCTATTGACGACGATCGACGGAGATGTCGGAAAAGCTAACTACTGACTCAGCAGCAATCGCCAATTGATGAACACTAAACGAATGTGAATGGAAAGTTTTTGGTCTGTTTAACCCCCCTCAGTGAACGGATATAGCCTGTGATATATTACCTATTATTAAGTTTTATTATGGTATAATTTAATGACATTTTTAATCACATTTTTGTAGTAAATATTTGTGGAGAAAACTATTTAACTTTGGGATTTTTAAAATTAAATAGACTTTAGTTCCAGCTTTGATTGCTTTTTGCTTTGTTTCTGTAAATTGCTTTATACATTTTTATCATAAAAAAAATACATCAAAGGATGAAATATGTAAACTAAAAAGTTGCTTAAATAAATATTTTTATATAGCTTTTTTAAAATCAATAAAAAATGTGCTGTCGCTTTACGTAAACAGCGTTAGTTAGCGGGTTAAAGGGCTAATGACGTACTAACTATTAACGCATGAGCTTCAAGATGCGCAGTCCAGAGGTCTAGGGTACTACTTTGTTACCACATTACTATAGCAACTATAGTTGCTATATTTAATTTACACGTATTCAAGTTCAGTTACCCATCTACTACCGTAATTGCTAACGTGGCTATCACGTTTCCGCCCCCAACAAATTAATGGTAATTACATCAGATCATACAAATCTAGGTTGTCACTAGCTTATTCAATTTTCGATTTCAATTGAAAGTATCGTATTTCGCCAAGAATCATTAGAACTTGTAGTTTTTTTAAGTAGAAGTGCAGTGCATATAGTGTGATAAGGGAATTGCGGTAGGTTGGTCTGGATGCAATTACCATTATCGCGAAATTGCCAACGATAAAGCTTTGGCAAGGTGACGCAGGGGGATAAAAATTCTACGGAATATTCTGAGAGTTTCCATTAATGAATAATGGTTTACATAACGGTTTTGGGTTTCCTAACAAATCTGGAATTTTCCATTTTCACAAAAGAGAAAATAAAAATCTTTTCGCTTCTAAGATTAAGTCATAATCTTTAAGATTGGTTTTTTGTTATTTGAAAACATAATTTTTGAACTTAGTACAGGTATAAATACTAGTTTATGTTGATTTTTATATTTATTTAAGGTCATAGCCTGTAGAATACGGATGTATTTTTGCGTTTTAAAAATCCCAACTTGATTGAATAAATCGCTTCTGAATTGCCTTTCCATGCATCGAACTTTTAATGTAATGATTTTCACTGCAAATTTATTGTCTCAATTTAATTGAAGAGTTGAACATTGAATGCATACCAAATTGGTACTGGAAATTTCTGGAAAAATCTGAAAATGTAATATAGAAATGTGTGTGCATAAGACCTGGAAGAAAAGCCTGTGTAAATTTACTATATTTTATAAATTATTTATTACTTTTAAGAGCCTTTCCTCAACCAATTTTGCGTCATTTTGTCATTTCACAATTGTTCGTTTCCCTTTCTCTTTCCCTTTGGAAGATGGTATCTGTTCTCGTTCTCCCTCTTATCGATCAAATTCACTTGCCGCAGAGCAAGGGTTTATTTTATTTTTTATTTTTTGCCAATGCAACAGCTGTTTGCAGGGAGCTTAAAGCAAAGGGGTTGTGTTCAACAAAAATAAAAAAAGGGGTGACACGCAATCAAAAGACACTCATTCACGAATGGAAATTTCCATTGCAATTTTTTCGTGTAATTGAAGCGGCTTCCCTTAACCCCCCAATGACCGAAAGAGTTATTGTTCCGTTATTTAAAGGGTTACTTCAGAAAAAGCTCTTGGTTTTAAATTCATAGAAAACAATATAAAATTCTTTTTTGTATTATTTGATATTATTTCAATTAAGTTAGAAAACTTGGTGGAAAATAAGATCTGCAATTAGCCTGATTTAGGGTGTAACATAAAACAATACACAATCATTGCAATTACACCGTAACACTTAGATTTGCCATAGTTAATTGATCGAATCCAAGGGAGATTTTCACTTTTTGGCATCCATTGCACCAGAACGACCCCCGTGGGCATGCATGGGCTTAATTGCACCACTCTCTTTTGCTCTCACTCTCTCACACTCTTTCTCTCTCACTTTTTCCCCAGTTTTATGCGATTTTGGTTAATGCTAATGGCATGTGCATGAAATAATGGGGCACAGTGGATAAAAATAGTTTTTTGCTGCTGACGGAACTTGAGATGATAATTTGAAACAACTGTTGTCTTTAATTATACGCATAAAATTGAAAATTGAGAAAGAATTTTATACCTTTTGGTGGTTTTAATAGTTATTCATCATTTTTATGGTACATATATTCTAGCTTAACTTTATTAGTTTTTAATTTTCCAATCTGAATTAATTTTTAGCCACATTTTTAATTTTAATTTAATTAATTAATTTAAAAAATTAATTTTTAATCTAATGTTTTAATATTAATTTTTAATTTTCCAATCTGAATTAATTTTTAGTCACACATTTTCATATTTTAATTGGCATCCACTGTGCATTCGTTGTGACTAACTCACTCACTCACTCACTCCCTCACCTGTCTCCCATTTACTGGTTCTCCTTAGGCCCCCTCTCGCTCACACTCATTGTAACAGATGTAACTGCAGTGGCACCGACCGCTGCAGCAGCGACGTCGCGACGTCAGCGTTCTCATTGATTTCGCCTTGTTTTTATCGTAAATCGCTCGCTTTATGCTGATTTGTTTTTGTTGCCTTTTTGTTTCTTTTTTTGGGGGCCAGAGACGGAGAGAGAGAAAAGAGAAGATTGCATGTCAGGTAAAACTTTTATTTTAATGGATTTTTTTCATTTGCTTTTGCTTAAAATTATGCACAGGACAAAAAACAAAAAAAAAAACATGCATACATACTTCATTGAACGAAGATTTAAATACACTGGCATATAAATTTAAGTGTGGGGGATTTATTATATATATCTTTTAAAACTAATTGTGAAAAAAAAATATATTTATAAAAGAGAGAGAGTATTGAGAGCCAAAGGAGCCACTAGGTGCCCATGTTTGTTTTTAAAAAATATAATTTAAATATTATTTTGAAAAAGAAATAAATTGCATAGAAATGTTGAACAATTTTAAAGATTTAAACATTTGTTTTTTTTCAACTATCTAATTAAACTGACTGGTTCTTGGACTTAACCTTAAATAGTGTACTGTCCAGGGTTTTATTCCAAGGATTTGCCAAACACGCGATATGTTTAAAAATATATAAAGAGCAAGGTCTTCGCTCCATTCTCGATAACTAAAGGCTACGGCTACGAACGGCTGACCACGACCGTCTCCACGGACTGCATGTCCCTGGCTCCACTTGCTCCACTTGCTCCATTGGCTCCATTCGTTGAGGTGCCATTACCATTGGCACTCCCATTCCTGGGTGCCTCCAGTGGTGGCAAACCCACCAACCGTTCGCTTTCCCGCCACAGCCAGTCGGCAGTGTCGTTATTGGTGGCCCACGGTACCAATGGCCATCGCATGGAGTCCGAATAATAGCCACCGGTGGACTTCTCCAGGCTAGGATCCAAGGCTAGCTTCAGTGAGGTCTGTGCACCGGCACGTGGGGACTTGAAGAAGTACAGTGAACCCGTCTGAAGGACACTCTTCATCCAAGCAGGTCCAGCAAAGTGACGATTAAGCTCGGTACGCACCACTCCCGGATGACAGCAGTTGACAGTGACGCCAGTGTCCTTTAGAATCGTTGACAACTTCCTGGTGAACAGGATATTGGCCAATTTAGATTGACTATAAGCTCCAAAGAACTTTCCATAATTCTTTTCACTCATCAAATCCTCACGATTGATGCGACCAAAGAGATGAGCCGCCGAACTGACCACCACAATCCGACTGGGTGCACTTTGCTTGAGCCGATCGAGCAGCAGATTTGTGAGCAGGAAGTGACCCAAGTGGTTAACACCCAGCTGCTGCTCATAGCCATCGGCGGTGAGGGTCCTTGGACAGGCCATTACACCGGCATTGTTAACCAACAAATCCAACTTGGTCTCCTCCGCCTTGAAGCGCTCCACGAAATTCCTCACCGACTGCAAGGATCCCAGATCCAGTGTCCTGTTGAACAACTGCTGATTATGACTGCGATCCATAATCTCCAACCGGGCAGCCTCACAGCGTGATGGATCCCGACAGGCCATATAGATCCTGGCACCACGTTTGGCCAGCTCCAGAACGGTCTCCTTGCCAATCCCAGTATTACAGCCGGTTACGATTACCACCTTGCCATCGATCCTATTAGCCTTCCGGTACATTGGACCCTGGATGCACTTGCGCAATAGCCACATAATGACAGCCGTGCAAAGAACAACTAGGATGAGGAGTACTAACCAGGCCCAGAAGCCGTGAAAACAGAGAGTTTTCTCGCTTGCCTCACCGGTGGGATCAAAGCCCGGTGGAAATCCAGAGGATCCTGATTCTGGTTGTGTTCCTGCGCCTGATCCTGCTCCTGGCGGCGTGACAGCCTCCGACATAGTTGGCTTTGAAATACGATCAGGAAACGGGTTGCTGAGGTGTTTTGTTATGGAAGGGTTTTCCTTGAAGCTTCTTTGATTCTGCAGAAAATAAAGAAAGTTTATAGATTAAAATTACGATTAAGATTAAATGAGAAAGGGAGGGGAAATGGGAGGGAAAACAGTTAGGGAACACCTCTTATGAGCAACAATTACTCAGGGTTGAGACTCGATGACCCCGAAATCTTGAGCTTGCACTTGAACAACTGGTTTTAGACTTAAGTGGTGGCTTTAATCATCTGGAAAAATGCATTTTTGTATACATACTAAATATACTAGGTATCTTATAAAGCAATTATATTTAGATTGGAATGAAGCGGTTAAACAAGGGTTTATATAACAAAAACCAGTCAAGAAAAGAAAAATTAAAGTTCCATACTATTAGAAAGTTGGTTCTAAATACTTTTAATATATTAATAAAAGATTTTAAGGGGTTTATTTACTTTGAAATAATAGTTTTTGAATTTAGAAAATATAGTTTATTAATTTTATCTTTTAAATCTATCATTTGGAATGTTAAAACTATAAAGAAAAAGGATAATACTTAAGGATACATTTGTAGATTTAATCCTCATTAAAATCCTATATTGTTTATCTATAAATATAACCCTACTCTTATTTAAAAATAACAAATTTCTTAACCTGCACTTTATTCAAATATAATTGTTAAAAAAAACCCTAAAGTCGGTCATAAGAACTTTCACTGCTTGTTGTTAATAGAAATTAACACCTGGACTTTATACACCGCTTGGCCATATCGATTTATCTCTAGTATTAATTATTTATTTGGTATCTTTTGAATAATTAAATTAAACAATTAAACATGTGTTCCATTTCTCGACATTCTTTGAGCATGAATTACCCAACTTTCTTTTATGCCTCTTTCCTAAACACAAAAACAAAAAGCGTACTACCAAAAGTGGTGGCAACTTACCTACCAATCCAAGTTGTGGCCTTTTGTGGTTCTGCAAACAATGCTGGGAACTGATGCTCCGGTTAAGTCAGCAGCAAGTCAGGTGCCGATTTCGCACATTTCCAGGGACGGTTTTAGCGTTTGCTCGTTCAGTTAGTAGGATCCAAACCCCAGGGGGAGCTCAGGTTCCAACAGGTACCTTGGCGTTACTTGGTTAGTTGTTAACTTGGTAACTTGGTAACTGGGTCAGTAGTCGGTAGTGGTGGTGTGGTGCCCGCGTGTCCAAGCAACTCGCGCGATCTTGGCCAACTGACTGGCGGCTAGTCCACGCCTGGCTTTGAGCCAACGCTCCAACGCTCCGTGTTAACGCGTCAAAAAATAACCTGAAAAAAAAAATTATTTCAAAGCGTCTGTTATTAACATTACGCTGCTGCTGCTGCTGCTGCTGCCGCTGCCGCTGTGGTTTCTGTTGCATGTGCACTAGGGTGGACCTTATGGCTTATATCTTTACTATGCTAAGTATAACATAAAAAGGAAAATATATATACTTTTATGATAATTACCTCAAGAATTTTTAAAAAATATTAAACAGATTTTAATAATATCTTTTAAATGTTTTTCAAAATTGTTCTTTTGATGAGCTATAGCGTTAAGTGACTTGACTGTTGAAAGTGAAAAAGCAGAATGAATAATTTATTCAAAGATGTATTTATTCTTTTTATAGAGAATACAATAATACACATATATGTACTTTATATGTATGTATTAATTATATACGTAATTCTTATCTACTATATAAGCTTCTTTAATAGCAAGCTTTATACAGTTGTGAACAGAGAAATGGAACCAGTACATTATTTAATGTTTAGAAAGTGGTAATTTTTGTAATAATATTTAGAAAAGTTAACAAAAATAATATCATCAAAGAGCTAAATTTAAAATGTGATTATTTAAATGGTTCTATTATATTAGTTCTGCCTGTATTATTCCTCCCTCGGCTCTTAACAAAAGCTAGTTCATTTAATGTTGACCTCTGCAAACTGATAACATATTTTAAACAGACTCTATTCGAATTATGCTTATTACCCAATTAATATTGATTTTAAAACAGAATAGTGATTTGGGCTACGTATACGTAATATGACGTATACTTAATATTGTATTACATTTATAAAGATATTTGATATTTTTGTTGATATTTTTAATAAATTTTGTTTTGTTTGTGTTTTATGGATATTTTTTATATGAAAATTGATCAAGGTTTGAATTGGGATACGTATACGTAATATTACGTATACTTAATATTGTATTTCATATTTTGGTATTTGATATTTTTAATCAATTTTGTTTTGTTTGTGTTTTATGGATATTTTTTATATGAAAATTGATCATGGTTTGAATTGGGATACGTATACGTAATATTACGTATACTTAATATTTTATTACATATTTTGATATTTTTAATCAATTTGGTTTTGTTTGTATTTTATGGATAATTTTATATGAAAATTTATCCAGATTTAAATTGGATTACGTATACGTAATATGACGTATACTTAATATGGTATTACATATATTTAGATATTTAATATTACTGTTTATATTTTAATATGGTATTACATATATTTAGATTATGATATTGTTGTTTATATTTTTAATCAATTTTGATTTGTTTTTTGTTTTATGGATATTTTTTAATAGAAAATTGCTCAAAGTTTGAATTGGGATACGTATACGTAATATGGCGTATACTTAATATGATATCAAATATATTTAGATATTTGATATTTTTCTTGATAGTTTGTATCAGTTTTATTTTGTTTGTGTGCTATGGATGTTTTTTATATGAACATTAATCAAAGTTTGAATTGGGATACGTATACGTAATATGACGTATACTTAATATGGTATCAAATATATTTAGTTATTTGAAATATTTGTTGGTATGTTTAATAAATTTTGATTTGTTTCAATTTAATGGATATTTTTTATATGAAAATTGATCAAGGTTTGAATTGGGATACGTATACGTAATATTACGTATACTTAATAAGGTATCAAATATATTTAGATATTTGATATTTTGGTTGATAGTTTGTATCAGTTTTGTTTTGTTTGTGTGCTATGGATATTTTTTATATGAAAATTGATCAAGGTTTGAATTGGGATACGTATACGTAATATTACGTATACTTAATATTGCATTTCATATTTTGGTTTTGGTATTTTTTGTTATTTTTAATCATTTTGTGTTTCTTTGTGTTTTATGGATGGTTTTTAAAAAAAATTGATCAAAATTTGAATTGCAGTACGTATACGTAATATGACGTATACGTAATATTATATTTCATCTTTTGGTATTTGATATTTTTGATATCTTTAATCAATTTTCTTGATTTCTAAGAATCAATCAATACATAAATTTAACTCTAAGAACAAAATTTGTATAAAATCAACGTTATTTCGACCTCACCCAGAGAAGGTCCACTTTAACATCTCAGCCGGCAGTCGGCGGCGGCGTCTCTGCAGCTGTTGGCTTACCAAAGAAGAAGAGCAACTTACCGCCTTGGCTTGGCTTCAATTTCATTTCTTACCAATTTGCTTTCGTCGCTGCTTCTCCATTTATGTTACTACCTTTTTTTGTTGTTGTTGTTGTTGTGTCCAACTTTCACTGGAAACGCTTGTATTTTTATACATTTCTTTTTTCTCCTTTTGGTTGCCGCCTCATTTCTCTCGGCTCGTTTGTTTTGCTCACTCGTTCTTTAAGTCTGAGCTCGCTTGGCTGCCTTTAGTGCGGCGCCGACCTCTTGCCCTCCGGGTCTTCCCAATGGCATTCCAATGCGACAGAAAGAGAATACGGGAGGGCGTGTGGATCAGCGGGGATCACTGACCCCGCCAAGGCCAAGACTTTGTAAAATTCACTCATTTTCACCTGCCACTTAAGCCTGCACTTTGACACTTACCTTCAGTAAACAACAGACAGTCTCATAAAAACAAACAAAACAAAAAAAAAACCATTAATGGGGGGAAAAAAATGAGGACAAATCGACATTTGGGGATATTCCCTTGGAAAAAAATCAATAAGCTGTGTTAATCGAAGGCAGGACCTGCCGGAGTTGAATGTCCTTGACACAGGCCAAAAGCCAAGTTGCAGGGGTCACAGGACGAAAACCGGCTTACATATTCTCCTTTTCAGGCTACGTGCCTCTCCACACGTTTAAAATCTGGCAATGAGCTACAGAGAGAGAGAGAGAGAGTGTGAGAGAGGAGAGCCAAAGCGGGGTGAAAAGGAGACCGGTGAGAGAAAGCAGGAAGGAGACTCATGGACGTGGTAGGAATCCAGTTATAAATACAGTTAAAAACTATTTATAAAATTTATTATTAGATTTGAATAATAAATAAGTTTAAATATATTAAATGTGGAATAGAATTAGTTGTTCAATAAATAAATCATTGCTTATATATTCGACATTAAATTATATATTTCTTTAAAATAATAAAGAGAGTAAGTAAGGGTTAAAAGCATTTTCCTTACTCCCATTTTTTCTACAAAAGTAATATATATTTTTGAATATACATAAGTATAAGATACAGTTTACATTAAAATTTATAGACACAAATAAATTATTACTTAAACTTAAGTTTTTCTTTAGAAGGAGTGTGTGTTGCTCCTCCCCTTTCCCTACACCCCCCCTACGCATGTGGCAGGAGCAATGGGAGAGCACGTGAGAGTTAATTGGGAGAGCGCTGGAGAGCGTGAGCGCCACTTTGACTAGGTCAGGATAACGTTGCTTTTTGCCCTTCTCCATTATATCCCATTCTCTGGGGCCGTTGGCGCATTGTTTAATCGATGAGCAGAGCAAAAGCTGCTCCGCTGGCACTCTCTGTCTCTCTTCATTCTGTCTCCATCTCCTTCCGGTGAGTTTTTTGGGAATTTTCCATTCAGTTTTTGGGCGTATAGACGGAAGGGCGGGGCGTACAGGAAGAATGTTCGATTGAGGACATTAATTCAATTCCTGATTGAGCCAAGCACTCGTATATTTCAATGAGCTCAGCAAGAAATCGGATAACGAGAGGCACGTGACAGTGAAGTATCTCAAGTCGTTATAATGAAGAAATGTCTTGGATATTGATTAAAGTTATGGGAAGAAGTAAGCTTGAAAGGGGAAGTACTTATAAATATTACTTACAATTATAATAACTTGTAAAAAGAATACAATTTTGTCTAGAATTTGGCATATACCTAATAAATAGCATACTAATAAATACCTGTTTTAAGGGTTTTTATATATAAAAAACCTTTAAAATCCTTTGTAAGACTTTCTTATATTTTAAAACCCTTTGGATTTAATTTAATAATATTATTTAGTATAATTCTCTTAGCAAACTGTGTCTCCTGTTCGCCACAGGAGGCTGTCTTTGTCCTCGTTGCCGCGCACATCCTTGCGCTTATCCTCGTTGGCCGCACTTAAGTGAGCTTATCTCGTTTTCCACTTGCCGTTCGCCGGTCGCTAATTCTCGCGCAGGACGTGACATGGCATCCTTGGTTGAGGCAAGTCCTTTCCCATCACTTCCCCCTATTTTCTTGGTGACGTCAAGCGATTAGTGATTATACAACTCACCTTGATCTTTGGGGGTTAAAAAGCAGATCGCGGGTAAACACTTTAGGCTGCCAAAAAGAGACAAACACGAGGCGCATAGTAAACAAAAGTCTCTGTAAATAAATCTATAAAAAAAAACACTAATTAAAAAACTAAGATAAATACACAGAAAAGGTTTTGAACTTTACTGATTCAAAAAGTATCTTTGAATTAAATATAAAAACAAAGCAATGAATAATGTTTCCTGGAGGGGTATAAAAAACATTAGATAATTCTTAAAACTGACCAACCGCAAAATATCGAATTAATCACAATAACAAAGATCAATATATTGTCGTCATTGTGTCGCATCCATAAGAGGATCGAACTGGAAATTGTTCATCAATTGAATGCGGCACGCGCAAAGCACGAAAACACGAAAGCACAAAGCACAAAACTAGGCTGGATGTTGGGGAAGAGGGGGTGGCAAGGGGTTAATTCCAATGAAAAACCTGTTGCCTCGCATAAGCATAAAAAACACAATGGTTCTTCGCTTTTCCCACCTCCCCTCTTGACACAGCTTCGAGTGATTTGTAAATTAGTAAAATAGAAAAAAATAGAAGGAAAAGAAATATAGTGACAAGAACCAGTGAGAACCAAACAAATAATAATAAACAAAAAATAACAATAAAAGCAAAAGGACAGAGGGAAATAAGCGATAAGAGAATCTTCCAAAGAACGAAGAATCTTAGACTAAAAGATACATCCAATATTTATAATTTTTTCTAAAGTAAATTAAAACTAAATAACATTTAAGGGTTTAGAAAAGTTTTAACAATTTCAACCAGTTTATCTCAATATATCCTTTACGAAAAATAATATATCCTTTACCTTCAAGAAGGGTATATAAAAATGCAAGTGCATAAAACAAAGCAAAAGAAGAATTAACAACAAACTACTTAAAACAATAGCACTAAAAGCGCTACAAGGACCAAAAAAAATAAACAAGTGAATGCATCAGAGCGAAAAATAGCAAAGCAGCTTTTGAGAAATACCAAAGCAAGACAATAAATATAAATAAATACACAATGTCAAGGTTTTTTGGCAAGAATAAAAATAAACAAAAATAAAAAACAAACTATTTACTGTTTAATAAATATTACCCAGGCTGTCTGGTTTAAAAAAAAAATATATATATATGTCTATATATCCCATGACCAGCTCAATGAGCGCTATTATTATTGTTTTGACGATGTGTCGAATGAGCTGTTTATGCTGACAATGCGAAATAAAAGTGGAAAATGAGAAATGGAAAACGCAAAAACAAAGAGGCCGGGTGGAAAAGGGGGCTGTGTTGTTCAATTGGCATTGGGAAAAGAAGAAATTGCACAACCACAGAGCGCCACAGTTTGTGATATAACCTATGAGAGTGTGCTATGGGTTGGCATCGCATTACTTTTCAACGGAATCAGAAATCAACTGACTAATTGTATCATCATATGTAAATCATATCATAACCCAGACATAAACAGAAGTAATAATCCAATTGAGAATGAATTCGAGCTCAAATAATAAAGATTTAATTTGAATAGAAAAATTTTCCATAGCATTGTGATAGTTTTCTGAGGAAATTCAGTAGATGTAGGTATTATAATTTTAATCAGAAGCTTGTACGCTGTGAAGGAGTTATTTCCGACCCTATAAATCATATATATTCTTGATCAGCATCAACAGGCGAATCTTTCAAGCCATATCCGACCGAAAAAAAAATTTCAAATTTTTCCAACATTTTTTAAGATGTTATTTTTCATCTTTTAAAATGTGAAAATTTGACAAAATTTTAAAATTTCTAAATTTCAAAACTGAGTATACAGATTTGTTAGCGCTATAAAAACTAGCATAGAACAGCTTTCCGAATTAAAATAAATGCATTTTTGGCTTAGTTATGAGATTTAAAAAACTTCAAAATAAGCCGAAAATTAGCATATAAAAATTTCAATACAATTTTCTTTTTTTTTCAAAATTTTATATTTTTTTAAATATTACATTGAGTGTACAGATTTATAAACCCAATAAAAACTAACATGGGAAAGCTTTCCGATTTGAAATTAATGCAGTTTTGAGTCAAAAAAATTGTCATATAAAAATCTCGATAAATATTGAATATTTTAATATATAATAATATATTTTATGATACATTTTCCATTTGATTCTATAATTCTTTTGCAGCTTGCAGTGGTTTATAAACTTCGCCTTCCCTAAGTTAGTTTCCTCTCTTGTTAAATCTAATTTAAATATTATTCTACATACATATATTTACAAATAAATAAAGTACACTAAAAAAACAATGTGGTAAATTATAGTATTCCGACATTTATGATAGCATAAAATTGGTTGTCTATCTGCGATATTAACGCTCGATATCTTTCCGGCATAGCCCACATTTATAGCCCCCATCATGAGAACATGAAAATCTGCCGGATCCCCACCACAGCCAGAAGCAAAACCGCCTCGAACTGGTTTTCGGAAAGCCACCCAGAATATGAAAACAAAAATCAAAAATATATATCACAGATAAGAGAATCTGACTCGACAAAACTCTGTGGGAAAACAAAAGCAGATAGCGGGAGAAACAATGTAAGTATACTATATGAATTTGTTATTAAAAGGTGCGCTAGAAGATATGGTAATATTTAAAAAATCTATTTTTAGATCAAAATGTTTAAATATATTCGAAAAAAGACTGTTTCGTTTCTCATTTCTCTATTAAATAATATAAAACGTAATTAATATTTAATAAATAATTTCCTTGAATTAAAAATACCCCATTTTATATCATATATATTTGCTATAGTATATTTTTTACCCTTTGATTGGTTTCTTAATTGAAATTGAATCGCTGAAAACTTTAGAAATTATTTTCATTCGAGCATCTATCTACGTAGCAGTTGTCCGGATTTTATATGTGTACCATAGAAGTCGCCCAGAGAAGACCCCCTTTGCCCACCCCCCCACAGCCCCGCCCATTTTAGCAATATGACACATGCCAAATTGTTTCAGGCAATTCAATTCGTCGCTGCCGCTGCTGCTGCCGATGCTGCGTCCAAAGGTCAAGGTTGATTCGGCCCGACCGTGGCGCCCTAAATACGGGTTCAGGTATGCGTGATGCGCTGTGAAGCATGTTGCAATAAAATCAAATAAAATAAAATAATAAAATATCAATACTCATAATAAAAATAAATTAATAAAATAATTAAACACAATAGATAATGTTTACTCCAGATAAAAATATAATAAAGGTAGAAATATTGATAACAAGGTATGTATAAAAATACAAAATATTCATATGACAAGATTAAATTAAATATAACTTATAATTTATGTAATTTTCTCACCAAGAAAGGTTTAAAATCAAAATAAAATATATTATATATTATATTCATTTTGCTCTATAAAATTATCCGAGGGCTCACTGTACCTGGGACCGTTAGTCGATCTTGGTTTTCATTTGCCTTCTCATTGCTTTCCATCTCTGCTTCATCTTCAGCTTCCGCATACCTCGCGGCCAACGTAGTGTAATGTGCAAGCGAGACGGCTGTACAGTGGGTGAGAGTGGGTCTAATTGCGGCAGAATTCGGTGGCCTTCCCCCCCCCCCCTCCCTCCCTTTATCTACCATATAACGCATATTCTGCGCACTTGGCTGCAGTTTTGCTCTCTTTCTCTGTCCCTCCCTTTGCTGACATTTAAAAATGCATTCCCGTGCAAATAAAATTACACAGTTTTTTTTTTCTCTATATATATAGTTTTTGTTACTTTTTATTTATTTTCTTGTGTTTCGTTTGCTGTGTATGTTTGTGTAATTACAAAATTACTAACTAAGACAAAAAATAAACAACTCTTTTTAAATAATATTAAAAAAAGGAAAATAAAACTGATAATATTAATTTTTTTTGTTGCTTAAAAGTAGCTGTCTAGGTACATTTTTTGTATATATATAATATTTGTTAGTATATGTATATATTATATATTATACGATATAACATCAAGTCTGTATTCAGCTGTTTCGTTTGTTGTTTTGATTATTTATACTTTTGTTTCATGTATTTATTTATTTAATTTTTTGTTCGCATTGCTTAAAAAGTATATTGTCAATTGCGCTTTTGTAATTATATAATTACAGGTGTAAAAATAAACACAAAATTAAGTGATATAAATTCCTTGGTTCTTTTTATTTTATTTCCTTAAATGTTTTGTTTTGTTTTTATTTTGTTTAATTTATTTTTATTTTCTTTTGTGGTCTTTGTTATACAATGCAATTTGGCAGTTGCAGTTGCAAATTTGTCGGGTTGATTTTCGAAAAAAAAAAATTGCTTACAAAAAAGGGTGTTTTTAATTTGGGACATTTGGTTCTATATGTTCTACGTTTGGAAGCCGTGGCATACATACAATATAATTAATATAATTATACAATTGGTAAGGGAGACTTTAAATTGTATTTATAACGGTTATTATTTAAATAGTTTGCATATGTACACCGAAATTTATATATTTTATAATATGTATTTTATATTCAAAAAAATCATTGCCACTAACAACAACTCGTCACGCCAACTTAAAAGTAACGCGGTTTAACTTAAGTTTCCACGCCTTGTCATTACCCATATCCCCTTGGCTGCGCCCCTACTTTCCTTTCTTTTTCCTTTCCTTTCCTTTCCTTTCTCTTCGCTTACGCGCTCTCCCAGTCTCTCCTCTCTCTCGTTCTCCTTCCCTCGCGACCTAGTTTGTAATTAGCCAGCTCTGCTGCATTTTATACCTATCTCACTCGCATCGCCTTATCCTGGTGACGAAGTGCACCGTCGTAGTCGCATCTTCAGCCGGCTGCTGGCGCTGCCAATGCTGCTGCTCCGTCGACGCCGACTACTGCTGCCGGTGAGCTGTTCCATGGAGCAGCTTCCCCCCTCTGTCGAGGCCTCAGCATCGGCTTCGTCCTCTGCCGCTGCTGCGCTGCTGTTGGGAGCCAGGAGTTTACAGTAACGCCGAAAGCGTCGCCCCAACCGACTGACCATGCCTCTGCTGCCGGCATGTGGCTCTCCAAATGAGCCCTCAGCTGCGGTCTCCTTTTCGCCCAGGAATTTCGCCGGCTCCCGTCGTCTCTCGTCCTTTTCGCACGACGATGATCTCTCGGCTGCTGTCGATCTCTCTGCTGGTTCTCTGGCACAGGTAGCGGCGGCATCTCTTCTCTCTCCCGACTCGATGTTGTTGTTGTTGCTACTGCTGCCGCTGCCGCTGCCGCTGCCGTGGAGGAGGGCAACGCTGCTGCTACTGGCATGGTTATTGTTGTCGTAATTGTTGTTGTTGCTGTTTTGATTGTTGCTGCTGTGATGGCGTTGCCCTCATGACCGTTTACCGCTATCCTTGCGAAATGATTTGCGCAGCTTATCGACAAGTCGCAAATGGAATTTGGTATAATCATTGGAGGACTCCTGCTGCTGCTGCTGTTGTTGCTGCTGCTGCTGACGCTGCTGCTGGCTTTGGGCGGCCGCTTGACGCTCGAGAGCAGAGGCTGTATTCGAGCGGCTGGGCGGACTGGAGCGCGTAGGCGAGACAATTTGCTGCATTGAGCCGTGGGAGCTGCGCGACGCGTTGCGTGGAAAAGCGCGCGAGCTGTGGCAGCGCTGCATCTGCATGCGATGGGCGCTGGAGCCGCCCAGTTGCCCGTGCGAGGGAGAGGTGGCGAAACTCTCTGATTTGCATTCGGACACCTTGCGGCGACGCTGCTGCTGCTGCTGCTGCTGTGACTGCTGCTGCGACGGCGTGCCGAGAGCGGTGGCCAGAGCGGTGGTCCCGTTACTACTCGCATTCGAACACTCAGAGGTTTTGCGGGAGCGCGTGTCTTTGTAGATGTCATAGTTGTTCTTCATAACTGGCATCATGAAAGCCATCTCGATCACTTTGAATTCTGCTCTCTTGGTGTTAGCACGCGATCGTTTAGCTCTAGCTTCCTCACCTTTTGACGAAAGGAGAACACAAAACAAAAATAAAGAAACGCGGTTGTTTGTCGTATTTTCCGTTTTGCCGCTTTGCGTGTGTTTGCCTTTGCGTTCAGTGTTCGTTTTGTGTGTGTGTTTTTGTTTTATTCTTTTTTTTCTGTGCTGTTTGTTCGCTGCGCGCACCTTTTACCGTTTGATGGTTCAGTTCGGTTTGACGCCATCTCGCTTGCGCCTCCTCTACTTATACGCTGGCCGGCTGGCGGGAGTGTACACAGTGAGAAAAATAGAGAGGCGTTAATTACTTTTTAATTAAAATTGGAGTGCATCTTTAAGCAAAAAAAAATTGGATAATTACTCATATGCGCTGTTGGCCCTACCCAGAAATTGCATTTTTAAATGGCTTAAAATTCTTCAAATGGATTCTTAATATATGAAATGTGGATCTAAAGAGGTATGTACATAAATATTTCTAAATTAAAATTAAATCTGACATGCGTTTTGTTTGAACTATTTATTTATAAGTTGTTAAAGCACGAAGCAAGGCCCTTAAACATTTTGGTAATATTTAATCAAAGTTAAAATAGTCTTTCTATGAGTCTTGGAATTTTGTATTGGTACCAAGTTTCCCTCAGTGTACTTCGGTTGGGAGCGGCTCTCTCGCGCGCTCTCTGCGCGCCGTCGCAGTAAGAGAGCACGTGGGAGTAGTGGTGTTTGCTCTCAGTGCAGCACGTTTATACGAGACGATTTAACGCGAATAGCGCGTTAAGAAAATAACGTAAACAACAATTTACATAATTATCAAAATATTATACAATAAATTTTCAACAAATATATAATAAAACTCCGCTAATTCCACTAAGTTGGCTTTAAATATAGATTTTAATTGCTATTATAGGAATTAAAAATAATTTAAAATATAACTAAGCACAGATTATTATTTTGAATTTTAAAGTAACTTTTTAATATTTTTTACTTAAAAAATTCCTTTTAAATGTTCGCGAATATACTCCATGCATGACTAAGTCATTGGACTGATTTAATAGCTTTTAATTATGAAATCATAAGCAGCTGGGGAACGGATTTGTGCAAAGACAAAATAATAAAAAAATATTAACAATTAAAATTTTAATTGGAGCATAAAAGCTACATTTCTCTTTATTATAATGTATCTAAAAGTGTAGGAAAATCAATTTTAATCAAAGACGTATGACAGACTGAGAAGTGGAAAATTTAAATTAAATATTTAAATCATTAGGGTATTATTACTAAATTATTATTATTACTATATTTATTATAATTTAAAAGCGTCTACATTTTTTTTTATGAATGTGAATTCATACTTTTCTGCACCCTCTCAATATATTTCAGAAATTTAAATATTTTAATTTTTATAATCTTACAGGGTATTTTTAGTTTAGTTAAAAGTTTGTAACAGTGTGAAGGAGTCATTTCTGACCTTATAAACTATATATTCTTGATCAGCATCAACAGGCGAATCGAACTAACTATGCAGATTTATTTACCTTCAGGAAACTAACTTAGATACGCTTTCCGAATTGAATTTAATGCAATATTAATTTATTTATGCACTTTTTAAACTTTGATTTTAAAAGGAAAATATATTAAATAAAATTTTAAGAATCAAGCAGAGGGGTTTATAATTTTAGTCACTGAAGGAGTCATTTCCGACCCCATTAATTATATATATTCTTGATCAGCAACAACAGCTGAATTGATCTAGGTATGTCTGGTAAAAATTTATTTTTTGCAAAATTTTAAAAATTTTTAACATCGTTAAAATGTTAAAAAAAAATTGATTAAAATTACAATTTTTTTAAGTTTTACATTGAGTATGCAGATAATTTAACCTAATTATAACTAACATGGGAAAGCTTTCCGATTTGAAATTATTGCAGTTTTGATTAAGTTGTGCGTTTTTTAAACTTTAATTTTTCGAAAAAAATCATATAAAAATAGTGATAAATATGGACTTAAAGTATGCGAATATTTTAAGCTAAGCTGTGATCAATTAAAAGGGTGTATTAACTTTAGCTTTTGTATTTTAGATTTCCTTCTAGTTAATATTTAAATACTAATTATTAAATTTTAAAATTTGTTAAATAAAAGCAAGCCACTTACCAAAAGTCATACGTTGTTAGGATCTAGAAAACATGTGTAGTTCGTCAGCGATTGACGTGGTCGTCGTTATCTTTGAAATCGCAAAAATCGTCGGCTCTATAAGCAAGCCCTATATGCATATGCATGCTATATAGTCTGGTAATCATGATCGATGGGCAACGGTGGGGCTCTGGTTGGGCCTGGGATTACGGTGAGAGTCCAAACAAGTCGCATGCAAATCGATAAGCTCCCGAATTGTGGGCTCCCAAGATAACACAAACAGTTTTTGTTTTTGTTTAAATATGTTTTTTTTTTTGTTTTGTCACTTTAATGAATAGTTTTCAATTAATGTTCTGACTGCTCTCCATCGTCATGAAATCGTTAAATAATGAAAGTGCATATAATATATATATATATAATATATCTATTAATTTATTAGGTTTTTGGTTTTTCTTGATTTACTCATCTTCTGGTTTCTTTCGTACGAATGCATAAATTTCGTTAACAATTTGTTGTCATATTCCTTTTTTTTTAATATTTATTTTGCTTTTTTAAGCTTTCAACTCTTCTCTCTTCTTTATTTTTATCTTTTCATGTAAATGCATTTTTTAACAACAATTTTTCGTGGTTTCTTCAAAGTTTCATATATGTTTATATAAAAAAATGTATTCGAAAACGAAGAGAACAAGATTTTCTTTTGGAAACAGGAAAGTCTGAAGTTATTTAAATATTTGCTTGAAATTATTGTACAATTTTTTTTAAGATCTTCGTATATATCGTATATATATTGTGTATATTGTTTTGAGTGTGCATTTTGTGCTTTAACACTTTATTTTTGCTAACAATTAAAAAAAAAGTAAAAAAAGAATACAAAAATGGGTTTCTTCTTGCTTTATTTTTTTCCGTTCTTATTTTAATTTATTTTTATTATTTAGTTTTTGGGGATGGCCATTTATGGTTTGCCTCGCACATTTTCAATGCTCTTTAGGTTTTATTTGATGCATTTTTGTATAATTTACCTATATATGTAAGTTCTTCTTAACTTGCATTTAAAATTAATTTAAAGTTTATTATTTGCTTAGGTTTTTCTATATTTTTATTAATTTTTTATTCAATTCAATGAATGTCCGTTGTCCGCTAAGTTTCAATTAGAGTTTATTTTAGGAATTTCAAAGACTAGCTAAGGGGGGCTTGATGCAGTGAGGAGATCTGGATAAGATCGTGTCTTTATTGAAAATAAAATATAAATTTATATATTTTTTAAATGTGTGTGTGTGTGCTGGCAGTTTGTTGGCTATATAATAATAATATTCTTTCTTAAAAAAAATTAAAAAAAATGTAAAAACTTAAATGAAAACACACTCTATTAAATACTGGTAATCTAGTTAAGACTTATGTATTTACAAACTCTGGCTAAACTAACTAACTAACGCTTCAACTGAACTATGAAGGCTATATGAATCAGGCTACGATTATAACTCTTTCAAAAATATATATGCAGGAGAGTCACAAAAATCTCTGTAGAGTTAAAAATCAATAATAATTACAGATAAAAAGTATGCTATGATATTTCATATCATTATTTTGACCTGCAGTTTAAAAGATTTTCAAGATACAGATACATTTCCGTGACAATCCTGATACACACATATGTTAACTACTAGGGATATATGGGAGGATATATATGTATATGTATATATTTGTTTTATAGAGATCTCCTCCACAACACACACACAGTAAAGCCCATAGTCTGAGAGTCCTGGATTTGTCTGAGCTAGTTAACAAAAACTACACACGCACAACAAATACACACACCGAGACTTATAGCCTAAAGTCCAAATCGGGATCTACATATCTGAGATCACATTATTAGTTAAATTGCCAGCGAAAAGTATCTAAGGATTCAAACGATCAGGATCATTGCTATATAGTGTGAGTGTGAGTCTGAGTGGTTGTAATTTTAATTGTTGCTATCAAAAAAATTACTCCTAACCATGTACATTCATGAGCTATATGTATCGAGTATCGTATGCATATTTATCGTTATCGTTATCGTTATCATTACCGTTATCGTATGTTTATGTATTCAGTATTGAGTTTAACTAAATGGAGTCGAAAGTGTGAGTGAATACGGACGAGGCATTATTGCATCGCACTGCTTCCGCTTCCGTTTCCGCTTTCGATTGCACTTCCGCTTCCGCACATTTAACAACCACTCGGCTTGAGGTACATTAAGGATATAGGCCAGGAAGGAGGGCCCTTAGCTTAGTGACGCCACTTACATATAGAGATAGGTTTTTGTTGTTGTGTTTTTTCTTTTTTGTTGTTTTTTGTTTTTCCTGGAGATCATCATCGCTTCTTACTTTCTATCGGGAAATTTACGAGTGCGAGGACTCGAGCCGGTGTCGCGGCGTGGGAACTCGTCGTGCTGAAAAAATAAGGAAATAGTAATAGAGATATTATATATATATGTTTTATGAACATTATTTTTATATATTATATCATTTGTTTTCCTATAAAAACTCTAATTTTATAACAACAAGAAAGGAAACTAATCTGGGGAACCCTAAATTTCTATACCATTACTTGCAGTGAATATCTATCATAACTCAACCAAAAATGTATTAATTTTAAATCGGAAAACTATTTTATGCTAGTTTTTATTAGGTTAATAAATCTGCAAGCTTAATTTAATATTTTAAAAATGTCAAAATTTTTACCTTTTTTCTGAGAATTTTAACGATGAAAGCCCTTATAAAATTTTCAAAATTTTGAAAAAATTAAATTTTTTTTAGACAAAGCTAGATAAACTCTGCTGTTGATGCTGATCAAGAATATATATAGTTTATAGGGTCGGAAATGACTCCTTCACTGATTAAAAATTTAAAACCCCTTAGCTTGATTCTTGAAATCAATATCTTTTTTATAATATATTTCTTTGTTGACAAATCAAAGTTTAAAAAATGCATAACTAAATCAAAAATGCATTGATTTCAATGCGGAAAACAGTTCTGTGTTAGTTTTTTAAAGGTTTATAAAGCTGCATACTCTATTTAATATTTAAACAATTTTAAGATTTTTCTCGATTTTGATAATTTTAACGATGGTTCCCCTTATAAAATTGCGAAAAAATTTGAAAAAAAATTTTTTCTGCCGAAGATGGCTAGAACGATTCGCCTGTTGATGCTGATCAAGAATATATATGGTTTATAGGGTCAGAAATGACTCCTTCACTGCGTTTTAAGCTTCTACCTAAATTTTTAATACATTTTTTAAGGGTATAAAAAGCAGGCAAATATCTTACTTTTAACTACATTTAGACACTTTTAATATTTTCCTTAGTATTTTGTTTGATTCTAAAACATTTTTAACTAGTTTCAATCAAAGAAAATGATTGTTTTTTGTAAAATATATATATTTTCAATGCCATTCCCTATTTTAATAATAACCCCGATATTTTAAGGTCTTTCATTTCTTTTTTCACTAAAACTCACCCTGGTATTAATGCCACCCTTGTTGTTGCCACTGTGACGCATCGCCATCTGATCCTCATCGCCATAGATCCTTGGGAATATTACAAGATTTATTATTATTTATGATTATTAGGAGATTTCCCATAATTAATTCACTTACCGGCCATCGGCATGTGTGACTTCCGGTTCGAGCAGTGGCAACATATCCTCGCCATGCTGCAGAAGCTCCACCGAGGCCAGGGATTCACTTCCGGTTCCGGTTCCCGTGCCTGTGCTGGGACCCGTTTCCGTGCCCGTTCCCGTGCTGATATCCCCTGCACCGGATTCAACACGTTCCGCCTCATGGCACTCACATTGGCAATCCTCCGGCTTGACATAGTTGTAGTGCAACTTGTCGCCACCATCTGTGGATGTCTTGCTCTGATGCTGCTGCTGGTTCTGGTGATGATGATGATGATGATGATGGCCAGAGCCGGAACGATGATGACTGCCGCAGGCGGATGAGGAACTGGTGGTGGCTGCGGCATTGGCAGCACTGCTGCTGGCCAGGGTCTCCTTGGGCAGTGTGGTGATCCGCTTGGCCGGCTTTCGCTTCTCGGGGATGTTCTCAAAGTCAATCCAATGACCGGAAAGTTTACGTTGTGTGGAGGCCTTTGGTTTGGGCTCCTCCAGGTTTGAGGTTGGTGCTCGGGACGACGATTGGGATTGGGATTGAGATTGAGCTTGTGGAGGTGGTGTGACCACAGGGAGAAGCTGCTTGGCCGAGTCCTTGCGCTCTAGATTATTGTTGGCACGCAGTCCTTCTTCGGCGAATTCAAACCAGGATTTGCCACTGGCATTGGACACACGACGCGGTGACTTGGAGCTCTGGATGCGCTCCTTGCCCACGGACTCTTTGCGTGGCAGACTTATCCTTAGCTTCTCGCCACGCACAGGAGGTCCTCCTGAGCTCAGGATGGCGCCTGTTCCTCCCAAGGCTGCGCCATTGCCCATACCAGTAACCATTATTGCGTTGGCTCCCAATCCTGTTCCCATTCCATCAATTTCCATGGTTGTTGTAGATCCTTCTTGAGGCATCATGATCCCCGTACAGTATTCCTCCAAATGTGATGGATTTAGGGGCGTGGTAGAGCGTGGCCTGTCCACAGGACATGTCTTTAACTCCATATTAGCTCGTTCTCTCATAGGGATTAGGGGTACGCCTTGGGCCCGCTCCTCGGGCAGCGTGGTGGGTATGTAGGGCAGCTCATCGTCAAAGGATTCTTGGGACACCAAACCGGTGCTCTCATGCTCCTCGATGACGCACACATTGCGGGGAAAGTTGTGATGATGCCGTTTGCCCGACAAATCCCCGCCAGCGGGCACGGCTGTTGTGACCGAAGAACTGGCCGCCATATCGGAGTCCCTTTCACTTTCCGATGATTCCACCGGTTCGTGTTCATCCGTGGACTGGGAATGCCTTCGCTCAACTGGCGGTGAGATCAGCATGGGATCAGGAGTTGCTGTTGGAGTGCTTGTGGCAGAGTTCAAGGGATCATTATAGCAGGTTGTGGTTGGTGCATCCCTGTAGGAGGAGGAAGAGCTTGGCTCAGCACTTGGGGGAGCCATCGGTATGGGTGTGATTGTGCTGGCCATGGTGGAAGTCGGGGATGGTCGGGTGACCTGCTGAGGAGCTGCCTGCGTGGGCGTGGGCGTGGTGGGGGTTACAGTGCCGGAACTATAACTGGGCGGGGTTTCACCTGAATGGAAGTTGGGTTTTGAATTTAGATTATTTCGAGGTTTTTATAGTGAAAGAAAGTCACCATTACTTACGCCTGCTTTCGGGTACACTCTGTCGCTTGGGCTTCCTGGGTATAACAGTCTGGGCAGGGGCATCCCCTGTGGAGTCTGGAAGATTCTCATGAAGCTTCCGGCGCACATCAAAGTTCTCCAGATACCGGGAGTGACGAAGATCCGCTGGTGGTGCAGCCTCATCCTCGGAACTGGGACGTGATTTGTGCTTGGTTCGCATTATCACTTGCTTCTCCGGTTGCTGCTCCTCCTCGGAGCTACAAGTACCTATGCCCCTGGGGGGTGGCGGTGGTGGCACCACTGGTTCCACCCGTCGGATAACCGTACCCTGTCGCTGTAGTCCATCAGCTCCCATGGCCGTGGCCGTGGACGTTGATGTGGTGGCCGGTGTACTCCCACCGGAGTGATCCACCTGCTCTGAGAGCTGGCTGGATTGACTCTCCGTCTTTGAGATGCTAAATTGTGTGGAGAAGAGCTGCTCTTGGCTGCCAGAGCCCAAACGGGTGGCAAATAGCAACCGGCGTCGCTCTTTGGCAGCAGCTGTCTCCAGATCAGGATTGGGAGCATTCACAGTGGCCACTGTGTGCACCAGTCTGGGTTCACAGGCACTCTGTGTACTCTCCACGGAGGGCAAACGTTGCATCTCAGAGGAAGTGGCTGTCACCGCCTGTTCCCTCTGCTGAGCTAGGTTAGCAGCCCGAGCACTGACCACCGAACTAACCACGGATTCGGCTGTGGTTTCCTGGGAATCCTGGGAGCTACTTGTATGCCTTTGCACCTCCAGACTCCAATTGGCTTGCACTGCCTGGATCTGCTGCAGTTCACCGGGGCCAATGCCCGGTGGATCCTCTTGACTGGGCAGCGATTGTATGGCATCGAGATCTGGTCGCTGAGCCACCTTGGTTCTTTGGGCCACCGGACGCAGGGCAGCTGCTGCTGCTGCCAGCTGAATGGCTGTGATTTGGGTTCCCTGGGTGCCGCCACCCGTTGTGTGACTCTCTCCACGCTGGACCACAGCTCGGTGGGTGGGCAGCGGTGAGGGATCCACGCTGGCCTGGGCGGCATGAGCCAACTGTTGGATGCCCTGCAGCAGGGATCGCGCCTCCCGCTCATCCGGTGGCGTGTGCAGGGGTATGTGAATGTAACCCTCTACGGGTTCATCATAGTAACGTAACCTGCTTCCAGGTCTTGAGCCAGCCGGTGTTCGATTGTGAGAGCCGGCAGAGCCGGGAGCAGGTGGTGGTGGCGGTGGCACTGCATCCATTTGTGTGGATTCTATGGGTGAGGAGCTTTTGCTGCTTTGACTTCCCCGTTTGCCGGGCTTGAAGATGGCCAGAACGGATTTTTGTTTGCTGGGCGTGACATTCTGGGAGCCACCTCCCGTACCTGATCCTGCTCCCGAACCTCCACCTGAGGCTGTGGCCGGTCGTTCCTTGCTTTTGCTGCGCGATCTGGCTGAATCTCTGGGTGAATCGGGTGAGTCTTTGCCGAGACGGAACAGGGAGCTAAAGGAGCTTTTGCGGGAAACGGTGCCACCGCCACCTCCTCCGGTGGCTGGTGAGGGTGAGCGACTGTTGAGACGTCGTCCTGGCTTGGGACTTGCTGTGGGTGTAAGCCTATGATGCTGATCCTCCAGGGGAGCTGCTCCTCCTCCTCCTCCTCCTCCCTGTAAGCTAAGAGAGGCGGGTTTGGAGTACACAGGAGCCAGTTGATTGGGTGCCTCCACCACCCTTTCGTTGGCCGCAATTCCCTTGTCACTGTACATGTGATCTGGTCGTAGATTAATCCTAATGTATTCCGTTCCACTGGCCGTCTTGCCCACCACCATTTGTCCAGGACTCTTGGTGCTCCGCCGCTGGGCGCCCATTGTTAATGTACTGCCTGCTGGCTTTCCGCCTGAAGGTTCCTTCTCCCCATTATGTTGCCTGCTCCGGCGACTGGCAGCGGCGGTGGAAGAGGCGGTGGCACTGCCACCGAGTGAAGCACCTGGAGCCGGTGGCAGCACCTTGATACCCTCGGCCAGCACTGCCTGTGTGGGATCATGTTTGCGTGCCAACAGTAGTTGCTCCAGGAGTGCGGCATTTGCCGCCACAGTGCCCGCACCCGGCATACCGCCGGCCTCCGCTTGGCTGTGCGTTGAACTGGCCGCCGTTGAGGCGCCACTGCCAGGACCTCCTCCTCCACCGCCGCCGGTGCTGCCCCCAATTCCACGGGTTTGGGACCGCAAAAGGAGGTCTCCAGGAGCATGCGGTGGGGCGAGGGTGAGCGTGATACACCGGATACCGCCGAGAGGCGGCTGACCGCCGAACCCTGACTCCCCACGCTGGAGATGCGACTGGTGCGGCCCGAGATGCACAGCAAGGCAGCCACCTCGGAGCTGGCGGAGTCCTTTCGCTGGTGCTGCTGCAGGTAGCTCTGGTGGTCATCGAATTTGAAGATGTGCGGCGATGAGCGTTTGGCCTGGAAGATGGCAAAGGGAAAGGGAGATGTTAATTAAAGGTGCACAAAGGATGTAGAGAAGGAGAGTGAGTGTGTTGAGAGTGGTGTGTTGTTGAGTGTGGTGTATTGTTGATTGTGGTGTGTTGTTGAAAGAGAGGCTCTTCTTGAATGCATTTTCCTAAGCTACAAGGGCTAATAATTTAGGAACTAGAAACTAGGACGAAAGGACGATTAAACCTGAAGATGTATATCAGTATTTTTTTTTATTAAAAAAGAAAAAAATCCTCGAGAAATATATGTTTAAAATATAAATATAGGAATATATATATAAAGAATATATATGAATGTGAGAGCAGTAACTTTTCTAAAGGCCACAGAAATTGGTAGAAATTTGAAATCCGTTCAAAAAATGATCAAAAAAATGCCACAAAATGTTACTCCTTAAAAAGGATACATTTTAATTCATATTTTTTGATACACTACATAAATTACTTCAAAATTTAAAGCAATTTCTGTGGTATTGTTGAGGTTTGGTTATAAAGATGATAAAGGAATACAAACGTCTTTAAAATATAAAGTAATAAGTATATAAAAAAATATAAAGATATTATTTAGTATGAGGAAAATATATAAAATATATTATAAACTCCTCTAAGGATAGTAATATATATAAAAATAGGTAATCATAAGGATCTTATATGAAATATATAGAAACAACTACTATATAAACCTAGCTTGTAAAGGTTTTAATTGTTAGTTTAAATTGGAAATTGAGGTCGAAGCAGGGAACTACAGGTATTTCGTGCTTTTTTTTTAATATTTGAATATTTATTAAAATAATTATATTAAATATAAATATTACAAGATTAATTATTATATTAATGGCATAATATTTTACCATTTTAATATATAATATAATATAATGTAGATAGTCAGTATGAAAATCTGGTTTTAAAAAGGGAAACTTTAATTACATTTTTAACAAAAATCCAACACCTTAACTGAGTATTTAGAATATATAGCTTTTAGTGAGAAATTATATTGTTTTAAATCTTTAATTTTTTGATTTTTTTTTTGCAAAAAATCTATCAGTTTTTCTCCTGTAGAGTTTATGTATCTAGAAATGGACACTGGTCCTGGGTTCCACGTCAATCGCGACTCTTCAATTTCGATTTGTGTTTCCCCCGCGGCTGCCAATCAGTGAAGCCAAACACAGAGAGGAAAGTAACAAAAAAGGGAAATAGGAAAATGGAAAAATGGGACAGAAATGGGAATTGCATTTCGGACTGCCATTACGGAAAAACTAGAGACTGGTCTGTGATTGCTAAGATCTTAACTAGTTAGCTTTTTTACCCAAAAAGTTAGATCAAATTTAAGGGTTAATAATTATGATATATAAGCATAACGAGAGGAAAAATAGGATTTACTATAAAGAAAAACTATCATCCTTAATATCATATTAAAAAATATGATAAACTTTCATTTAAGTATTGATAATATAATAAACTTAAACATTGAAATTTTATATACAAACTTGGACTGTGGTAAAGCAGCTCAAAGATCCACTTTTGGCTGCCTTTTAACATAATTTTAAAACGAACAAACTTTCTTAAAGTCTTTTCATTTAAAATCTTAATGCTTTTTGATACCTGTGACTTATATTTTTCTTGCTAGACACTTTTCAATAACCCTTCAAGGTGATTAAAGTTTTCCCTTTCGCTCACTATCTCTCTTTATATATCCTTGGACCAATTAAGACCGTCACGTGTCTCAGTAATCAATTGTAACTTTTTTTGCAATTAACCAAAGGGTGGGATGGCCCTACTATCACCTCGAAAAGGTAGCGAAACCAATTGATAAGTTGGACAGCGAGGCAGTCATTTCAAAAGGGGGAATATAATTCGCACAAAACTTTGTCCGGCACAGAAAACGGCTCGTAAACTTGACTCAACACAACGTTACAGAGGGGAAAAACTACTATATACTATGGAAAATGGGAAATTGAAGCTGCTGATGGCAGATGGCAGAAATGCAGAAAGTAAAAACCAGAGATACAACTCGGGGTAGCTACACTTGTCAGCTGTCACTCAAGGGCCCATAGAACCACCCTCGACTGCAATTCTGCATTATTAATTCAACTTGTGATGCGGTTACTGCCCCATTTCCATGCCCCATGCCCCCTGCCCCCTGCCCCCTGCCTCGTCCTTGTCAGTGGCATCGATTCCGGCTGACTTACTCCCTGAGTATTCGCGCGATACCCGCCAATTTCCGTTCTGTCAGCGAGGAAATGTCAAAGAAACTTGCGAAAAATAATCAATTTCCTTTTCCAAGCGGCTCAAGTTCAAAAACATAATTATTTATTTAAAAGCAAGGGCACAGAAAATAAAAAATAAAAACAACAACAATACAATTAAGGTGTTGAAAATGTAAAGAGAGGAAAGAGAATATATATTTTTGAATAATTAAACTGGGCCTTGGTTTTCTTTAAATATCCTGTAGGGTATTTCAGTCAGAAGCTTAAAACTAAGTGAAGGAATTATTTCCGACCCTATAGACCATATATATTCTTGATCAGCATTAACAGCCGAATCGATCTGGGTATGTCTGGTAAAAATTTATTTTTTCTAAATTTTGACAATTTTATAAATATAAAATCCATAAAATTTTTAATGGTTTTAAATTTTTTAATTGAGTATGCAGATTTATTACCCCAATAAAAACTATCACAGAACTGTTTTCCGATTTAAAATTAATGCTTTTTTGGCTTAGTTATGCGTTTTTAAAACTTTGATTGGTCAAGGAAATTCTCATATAAATATCTTGATAAATATTGACTCAAAGAATAGGTATGATCGATTTTCGATTTAAACCTATAATTCAATTGCGAACTGCAAGAGTATAACAACTTTGGCTTCCCAAATTTAGTTATTTTATATTAAAAATGAATTCAGGAAGCTGAACCACACTGCGTATGAGCAATATTACGTATACGCACTGTTGCAAAGTACACACAGCATTAAAAGCTATTAATTTAATCATATTTCAGCTTAAACTTAATAATTTATTTAGAACACGTCAGTTTTAACTATGTGACGTTAATTTATTTAATTTAACAATTTAATTACATAAGGGATAACATCGTTAAACTTTGTAAAAATTTGAACATTTATTATTTTTATATAGTTTCCTGCAGCTCTTCCAATATAGAAACCCGAAATACCCTCAAATACATAAAATTTGATAAAGTATCAGTATCTTTCCTTCTTCATTAAACCTGATCATTAATAGATATCGATTACTGTACCCCCAAGTATGATTTTACTGCCATGTAATTAGTATTTCTGAAAATATATATATATAAATCGAAATCGATGTGTAATAATCGTGTGGAAATATCGATATATATTATCGATTCCTTTAGCTTTCAACCCGAACACCTCTCACCTGCTGCTGCTGCTGCTGAATGCGCTCCTGCTCCTCCTTCTTCTGCTCGGGATCCATGAAATACAGCTCCTCGGTGGAGCTGCGCAGCTCGAGGGCGCCCTCCTCCCGGAAGCCAAGGCCAATCGTTTCCTGTAGGGTGCCAGTGCCGACCTTCAGAGCATTAGTTCAACCACATAAACCAGCCAATACACACACACATTTTCGAGTAGTTTTCGGTTGTTAGTTGTGTCACAGAGCGATAGTTTTGTACGTTACGTTTTCGGTTTTTTTGTACGTATTTTTGTTTGAATTTTTTTGTTTTACCGATCAGGATTAGGTGAGGGATTAGGCATGGATGAGGGCCAAGAAGCATGCATGGGTTCATGGGGTTTATGGGAGCGAGAACAGAAACAGAAATCAACAAATCAACAGCCAATTTGTGTGCAGGATTCGTTTGCGGTTCGGTCGGGAGGAAGGACGAACAGGACATGGTTTTTGGGGTTTATGGTGTTCAGGTGTTTAGGTGGGAGGGGGGGGGGGAAGAGTGTGTGTGCAAAGGGGGTAGCGAGCGCATCACAGAGAGAGAGAGAGAGTGTTACAGACAGAGAAAGAGACAGATGTACATATAAATGATATACATATCGGTGTATCGGTTAAGTTTATTTATAGATTCATGTTTTATGAATGAATGGCGATCAACAACACATAAGCAAATGCAAAAGAAAATACAAAACAGAAGATGTAAACAAACTAGAGCCAAGTACATAAACAATTACATTTGATCCTTGAAGGATATTTGGGTTACAAGGCATTCCTTTTTTTCTAAGGAAAATATAGTTTAGAAAGGTTTGATTTTATTTTCTAATGAAGTAGGAGTTTGATTTTATTTTGTGAGGAATTTAGCATTTATATTTTTAATTTCTTTTGTTAAAAAATACCTAGGAAATCTAGAAAGTTATACTTTAAAGATAATTTTTCCAGTAAGCTTGGCTTTATAATTATTTTAATGCTTTCATTGACATTAAAGTAATTTAAATATATGTTTTAAAGTGCTTTTAAAACTTTCTAATGTAAATATATTATATAAATAATATATTAATATGTTTAAATATAAACAAATCAATTTTAATTAATTTCAATTTATGATAATAATTCTTAATCACCCAAAAGAATGCCTTGTAACCAACCTAAGCCCCTTAAAGGATTCTCAATTCCTTTTAAAAAAAGAGTCCAAAAGTATTGCCTTGAAAACACTTCAATTTCAACTTATCATAGCATACTTTTGAGCATCCTTTTAAAAGATTCTATCAAAATTACACCTTTTGTCGCCTGGACACTCACCTGTTCAAACACATTCTCTGGACTGCTCTCACGGCTATCCTCTTCGTGATGCGATGAACTGGAGGCTCGACTTAGCTCGATCCTGGGCGTGGAGGGTGTGGTCAAGGTGGCTGCACCGCGATAACTGGCACCTGGACCGGCATGACCACCACCTGGACCACCGGTGGTGACGCCTCCACCGCCAGCGGTTGGTGGCAGCGGCTGACCGCCTTCGCTGCTGCTCACCAATGTGGTGGTCACCGTCGTCGTGGCCGTTTTCAGGGGCGGCGGACGTTGCTTTGCCTGAACGATGGTCGCCGAACAGGTGGCCGATGACACCGACGATGACGAGGAGGAGGAGGTGGATGCGGATGCGGGGCGGAGGCGGAGGCGGATGCTGGGCAGGATGCAGCTGAAGCTGGAGCTGCGGATGTGGCTATGCTCGGGGCTTCTATGCCGCCGGCAGTCCTGTTCCTGTTCGTCGTTGTCTGCGACGTCTGTTTTCGCATACTCTGCTCCATCATCTGGAAATGGAAATTGGGTCAACAATTTAAATAATTTATAAAGGGAAGAAATGTTTTTTCCTGTAATATTTATGTGCATATTCATCATTTGTTTATTTTTCGATGAGGGAGTAGCTAGGGGGATTTTTAAAAGCTGTTCTCAAGGTTATTCAAAGACCTTTTAAAAGCATACATTTTTTACTATTGAAGTGTCATTTTGAAAGATTTTTTTTTAGAAATCTTAAAAGAGACTGCCTTTATGAACGCACAGATCTAGAATGTTTAAAAATACATAAGATGTATCTCTCCCTTTCTTTCTCTGGTTTTTAAAAAATCTAAACAGATCAAACTTCAAATTTCTAGAACACAAAAATCGTATAACGTTATTCATCTTGTTATTTAATAGGTCTTTTATTAAAGAAACCTTAAAAAAGTCAGGGAAAACGTACTGCAAAATACCTGTAAATATTTTAAGCATTATTATTTGAATTTGGGGAAATGGTTTTTCAAGAATGTTTTAAACTCTGTCCGAGGCTTCTTTAATGTTTCCAACTTTTTAAATTCAAAAATGTATTCAATAACCAATGACTGCTAAACACACTTTCTTAACCCTCGTAATACAAAATAAATCTATTAAGTAAGTAAGTAAGTGTATCGAGTAACAAAATCTAATTGTTTTCCCACACATTGTGGAAACCCCATCATTGGATTATGGCGGATGACCCTGGGGGCCAAAAGCAGAAGGAATAGAAATGTAAGCACAAGAAGCTCCCTGTTGTCGTCAATTGACTCCATTGGGGACATTCCCCTCGATAATCTCCCCTTTGGATTGCATTTCGCAAATTGAAATAAAACGCTTTGACACAGTTTCTTCATATATGTACAATGATATATACATATATATAATAGTAGGAATATATATGTATATACATTTGTGTGAAGCTAACCCTATGGCGTTTTTCCTGGCTTGCTTTTCACTCTCTCCCGAGGCTATTGCCATTTCCCACATGTGATTTTTAAATGAAACGATGATTTTGCTTTATCTCTGGGCTCCCCTTTTGGCCCAATTATAATTGAAAACTGGCTAGCAAGGAGTAGGAGTAGGTGGTGACCTGCAATGGCTGACCAAAAGAAAAAAAAAACCAAACCGGCCAAGACATAGAAGCATCTGGACGGACTCCCAAGCCTGGGCTCATATCATATTCTTGTGGCTTTCCAATAATAAAATAGCACGATGAACTCTAGACCCGATTATAGGTTCAATGATTTTTCTAACCTTTAAGATATTAATTACTATAATATTTGACATTTAGAAAGCTATAATCTATCAAGAAATCAAGAGAGATTCTTAAAATATAATACCTTTTATGATAAAAGTCAAGGATTTTAAAGTTTATAAATGCTTTGTTAAAGGAGAAAATAAATTGCTTATTTATTAATTGTTTACTTATTTAAAATTGTATTGTAAATATCTCCTTAATCAATATTCAATTCAATATCTACGATTTCTCTAGCAGCAATCAAACTTTGAACTCCACTCCTTTTGCAATCCACAGGATATCCTTTGGCTCTCAAGTCTCTTCTTTTGCCATAAAATAAGTGCAAATTTGAAGGCATGAGATAATATAATAACTTTAAGCATCCGGGGGCGACTTTGTTTATCTCCTCCTTCCTGCCCAGAGATGCAGCATCCGGTGTGCTCTTGTCCTCGGGGCCCAAAGTCTTTGGCTAACGCCATTAGCGGGGCTTTAAGTTTTCCAAACTGTTTGCTAGCAGCAAGAGTGAAGGCAGAGAGATGGATATGCATAAAGAAGGGACAAGGGAACAAGGGGAGAAGGGGAGATGGGGAGAAGGAAGAAGGGCTATGCAAATGCAGGTGGGGGAGTCCCCGAGTTTACTGGAGCAACACGATGAGGACAATTCTGCCTGCATCAGTGCGGGGATGCTGCACTCGCACTGAAGGCGCTCAAGGGTAAATCCTTTCACACGCAAAAAGTGGGGGAAGCAAAGGTACACAGAGGGAAAATTAATTGCAAAATAATAAATATATGTCCTTACAAATTACTGAAAAATTATAAAGAGGTGTAAAGGTTTACCCCACTGAAATTGCAACAATCTGACTTACTTTATTTTTAAACTTTATTTCTAAATATCAAATAAATATTTTGCGATAATTTCCCAATACTTTATCTCTGTGTAATAGTTGTGAAGAAATATGCACATGGACAAGTCCAAACATGAAGGCGATGATTGACACATGGCGCCCAACGCGTCCTGGCATTTTCGGGAGGCTTTTGCTTAGGGGATGTGTGTCTTAGGGGTTTCAGGGGGAGTAGGGAACACATAGGGCTTTCGGGTAGGTATCATTTATTGTCTCAGCGGGATCTTGAGCACACACACAACACACAAATTAATTTAAAAGTTGACTTTGGCCCTGGAAACTATGCTGTGATTTTCGAAATTGAAGCGCGTGCTGCTGGGCGGCAACAACAAAAAGGAAATAGTTAAAATGGGGACGAAACCCGTCTTCCCACCTCCCTCCCCCCCCCCAAAAAAAAATGGGCCTTTGTTTTAGCGGTGTACAGAAAAGAAAATAATGTATTTTCGTTAGGTATTTTCTTTTGTATATTTTTCTTTATTTTTTGTTTTTGCGCTAGGAGTGGGGCAGGAAGTGTTTTTTTGGGACTTATCGTAGCATAATTTGAGACGTAAGAATGGAGGAGAATGGAAGGAAGGTACAGTTATAGAGAGAGCAGGAGAGAGAGAGAGCGACAGGACAGAGCAAGAGCAAGAGAGGGCGAGCCGAGTGTACAGTGATTCTGTCACACAAATGTGTGATTAAATTAATTAAAATTTAAATAAAAAGTAAGCAAGACCACAAAGTGAAAGAGATAGATAGAAACAGAGAGAGAGACAGATAGAGAGAGAAAGCTAAGGAGAGAGAGACACAGTGCGGCAATAGAAGGAGGCTTAAGAGGGGGTGTGAGAGAGAGGCAGAGAGTGAGAGAGGCCGCGTGCTCGACTTTATGTTTATTGTTCATACACACACACACACACAAATACACAAACTCACCGCGTTCCCAAAAAAATCCTGTGTGTGTGTGACAGTCTCTTTGAGTATTACTTGTCGCCTTGGCTTATTAATTCTGCATTAGCTTGCACTCACAAAAAATAAAAAAAAAAAACCCAAAATAAAATGTTTGTGATTTCTTCGTCTCTGGCCCGTTATTCGCTTTAACGCTTCTCTTGATTTATCTCCTGGACTATCTCTGTCTCTGCCTCTGACTTGGTTTCGGTCTCCGTCTGGCCCGCACACACACACACACACACGCACACACATACACTTTCACACACACAAAACACACACGAGCGCGCTTTCTCGCTCTGACAACGAGCTCCGCTCCGTTTACCGTTAGACCGCACGCACGCAGCGCCAGCGTCGAACTGCGGGCAGCGAAAGCCCCAAAAAGTATGCTATCGTGCTGAATGGGAATGCGACGAAAGCTTCGCCTCGTCCTTTCGCTCTCTCGCCCTTGTCCTGCTTCGTTTTCTCGTATGAAAGCTTCGGCCTAGGGCGAAAAGGGGGTGAGTGAGAGTGGAAGCAAGGCGTTGAGAGAGTTGAGAAGGGCGGCAGGAGGCCGGAAAGCTCAGTGGACTCAGCTGTGGCCTGTGAAGCTTCAGGAGTCAACTTGCCATGTGGGTGCGACTGCGAAAGGGAATACCATAGAGGACACAATAATAGGAACACCTTAGTGCTTATCATTAAAAAAATTATATAAACAAGAAAAGAAATTAATTTCGGAATGAAATAGTTTATATATCCTTGCAGTTTGCAATTGAATAGGATCGTATTTTTATTTGTCACAATTTTTTAACAAATCAAAGTTTAAAAAACTCATACCTAAGCCAAAAATTTAATAATCTTAATTCGGATTGCTTTCTTGTGTTAGTTTTTATTAGGTTAATAAATCTGCATGCTCAATAAAAAATTTTTAGAACATTAGAAATTTTTTCAATTTTTTGATCATTTTAACGATGTTAGCCCTTTATAAAATTTTGAAAAAATTGTCAAAATTTGTTTTTCTTTTCTACATGACTAGAAACATTCCCCTGTTGATGCTGATCAAGAATATATATGATTTATAGGGTCGGAAATGACTCCTTCATAGCGTTTGTAGCTTCTAAGTAAAATAAAAGTATCCTTCAAGGTCTTGCTATGATCTTAATAGTAATTTTCTATATATATTTATATATTCTCTACCTTTTTCTGACTTGTATTCCTGTTCATTTCTAAACCGGAAATAAAACTTTATATTTATGGCAAGTAATGGTATTAAACCAGCTCCTGTTGCTATCCCTTTTACCCGCACTGTTTCGCCGCACAGTTACCGGATGCTTTGAACCGTTCATTCGTTTCGCTTTTGGCCATTTCACCGTCTCGCTCGCTCTCACGCTTAACTTGGCTTACTGCCGCCACCGGCGAAATGACATTATTTTGGAATTATTTGGAGCACTTGGCATTTTGTGGAGGCGGCAGCGAAATATTTTCGAAAAAGAAAAAAGAACTCACGACTCTTCAGTCGCCGATCTCTGGCGCGTGTCTCGGATAACCGCCGCCCCGTTTGCCGTTGTTGTTGTTGTTGTTGGTATCGTTTAAGGTTCATTTTGTTTATTAGCCCGCCTTTTAAGTGGCCATTTGCATGATTGCGGCCCCAACCGCCGAAAAAAAAGAAAAGGAAACACCATCCCCATTCCAGTTTCCAGTCTTTTCCCCCATTGCTTCGGTTCCTGGATCCAAGATCCCGTATCCTGTATTCCCCCCCTTTAGTACACACTCACTCATATTTGCAGAGCGAAAAGCTTTGGACGAAGCTTACAGCGCCCAGAAAACGCTTTAGTTGATTTCATGTTTTGGTTAATTAATTTAAGCCCTGCATTATGTGCATACGACATGAGTCCTGGGTACAGGGTTCGACCGATAAAAGCGTAAGGAAAAGTATCCTTACAAAATAGTATATGTAGAAGATATTACAGAGGAGATATAGAGAAATTTGGGAAACCTTTAGAGATATTAAAAAACTATACTTCTACTACATTTTGAAGATTTTGAATTATATTTCCCTCTTGGCAAAGCAGATTTACAAATATGTCTTAGTAAAATGTTTAAATATTCTAAAACCGTCAATAAAGCATTAAATCCAAAGCTTTATAACTTAAGTCTTAGTATTTAATTTCATTTTTCCTGTTATTACTTTTAGAATATTTTAAATCACAAAAAGAAACTTTTAAAGTAAATACAAAATTACAGATCTTCTAAAAGACTCTAAAAGAGCTATAGCCAATAGAATGAAGTATTTTAAACAACAAAAAAAAAAAGTATATGATATAGAACCTTTCTTCTCGAACTTTTCCTTACGATACATTTTAGTATATCCTTAAGGACAAGTCCCCACTGTACCTGGCAGCGGTGAGCTGGTCTAAAGTAGGCTAAAGGACTCACCGCTGTATGGTGCTGATGCTGTTGCTTTTGCTCCTGTTGGTGCTGTTGCTGCTGCTGCTGCTGCTGTGCATTTGTCGTGGCATTGTCCTCAAATGACTTTTCGAAGGATGCAATTGGCGCTGGGCCAAGACGCTTCTGCCGGCGAGCATCCATTCCGTTCCCGTAACAGTTCCCTTTGCCGCTCCAATCTAGTCCTGCCAGTTATTTATTCACCCAGCAGCATGTCCTGGAAAACTAGAAGAGAGAGAAAGAGAAATAAAGAGGGAGGGAAAGAGATATAAAGGAGAGACACACACATTAGAAGGCCATTGGCACGATTTTTCTCTTGGCATGGCTTTTCATAATTGCCTGTGGCAACAATAATGCACTGAGAGAAGTCCCGACAGTTTTGTTATCTTCATTATCCTTTTTGGGGTAAAGCAACAACTGTTTTCTCTCAGTGCCTTGGACCAGCAGCAGCAGCAGCAGCCATCATTTCCAAAACGCTTGCAATCACATATCACTTGGCCCCCACTGTTGCTTGTGCCGGGCTCCATCAATCGTTGGGGAATCATTTGGAAAAATAAGCCAAACATATATACTATACCATAATATATATATATATATATATATATATATATATATGTCTGCAGGGCCTGCGAACTATTTGCCAGTGGAGAGGCAGCCTTTCGTGCCAGGAGTTCATTGAACCGCATGTGGCAGCCGCAAAGCGAACCGGAAGTGAAATAATAACATCAACAATTGATGAATATTTAAGGACATCACCGTACCCGGTTGTCAAGTAATTCAAGGGAAATTCGCAAGGAGGGGGAGGGGTTTTATTGCCTCACAATTACACTGTTATCAATTTGTGGTAATTGATATAATTATAGAGAATAGATTATATTTGATTTGAAATTGCTTTTAACTTAATAAAGTGGTGTTTATATATGTCCAGAAATTACTATAATTGTTAAAGCTCTAGAAAATGTATCTAGGTAGCAGAATTTGTAGTGCATTTTAAGGAATTAAAAAAATCCCAATAATTCCTGCAGCCTCCCCACATATATCATAAAAATATAATAAACCCATAAACTACGATTTAATGGGTAAATAAAAATGTAATATTCAATATTTATATCTGCTTTTATATACATATATTCCCTTTTGCTATTTTCTTTAATATTCAACCAGTAATTACAACCTTAGTCATCGCTGCAATTTAATGTCCTTTTCGACACAAACATTACATAACCAAAATTGTGTCACACAGATGACGCCATGAGATTCCCCAAGTAAATATCAACAAAAGTCCCAGGATGCGACCATCTCTTCTCTCATGTCCTGACTGCTCTCTATATGCATACATTCCTGCTTGTGCTCAAAAATAAATTGTGTTAAAAACTTCAAGGCTTGAAGTAGTTGTAGACCAAAAAGGATAACAAAATTTAAAGGCTGCTAAGCTGAGTTACCCATTAAATCTAGAAAGTAATTATAATTTCTATATATTTATTATTTATTATTTATTTAATTGAATCCCAAAAGGATCCTTGTGCGGTTATAGTTTTAGTCTGAAGTTTGCATAGCGGTAATATATATATATATAATAAACATATATATTCTTGATCAGCATCATCAGTCGAGTCGATCAAGCCATATCCATTTCTTTGCAAACTCTTCTTTCAGTTTTGAAACAATCTGAATAAAAACTCTGCAGTTGGAATTCTATATACTCTCACTACTATATACATATATCGAAACGGTCAGGATCGAACGACTATATCATATAGTTGCCATAGGAACGATCGGTACATTTATTGAAAACAGTCAATAACTTCCAGTTTTCAACATATTTCCATCATATTTTTATTAAAAAAAAGCCATTTGGTATTATTTCATAATTACTGTATTAATTTGATCAAAATCGGTCGACTATATCATATATGTATCTGCCATAGGAACAATCGTTAAATGTATGCCCCTCTCTGTCTCTCTGGGATCCCTTACTCTCGCTGACTCGCTCACTCACTCACTCACTCACTCACTCTACCTACCACTGCCTCACTCTAGCGGCATCTCTTTTACTCTCGCGCTCTCGCTCTTACACTCTCTGATCTACTCTCTGCTCGAAAAGTATAAATACGGGCGCTGAAGGCGCGCCGACTCAGTATATACGTGGCCTTATAAGTGATAACATCTCCAGTGATAGTGGAAGCGGTAGTGATAGTGCACTTGGACCCCAATATTGTCAACAAACCTATGGAATGGATCGGGATAAACAGGAAGCAGATGACTATGCCTAATTAAAGTCCACGTGTACCACCTACTGGGGGTAAGTCTTAACCATGACAATTATATTATTCTATGCTTAGAATTAGCTATGCATTTATTTATTATTTATCCAATGACAATGCCCTTTTGCCATGAACTCTATTATTTTACTTGAATTTAAAGTGTTACAGCAATTTATATTTACAGACTTACTTAATTGTAAAATTGCATCAACAGCCAAAGCGATCTAGTCATTACTTAATTTGAAGGCTGCTAAATTTGGTTACTCACTAAATTTTTAATATTTGAATTTTTAATTTTTTTTTATTTTTAATAATTGAATTTCCAAATTTTATGACAAAAATCTAGAAAACAATTACATATGTATTGCATATTTTTAAACAATTGAATTTAAAAATTTTATGGCATATCCTTGGTATATTTTTATTATATAATATTTTTTTTATAACTCCTGCAATTGTTGCCAGGATATAACAGACCTAGAAAGCAAGATTGAAGGCTACTTTTATGGAAAACAATTGCTGCCTTACTTTTTAATACAGAAAAGACAATATTTCCCTTTGCTCCTCTCTCTCTCTCCGTCTCCCAATCCCACTTGATTTTATGGGTACGAAAAAAAGGACATAAAACTGGAGAATCCTTGAAACACAAACACACGTACGCACTGGCAACACACACACACACACACACGCGCGTACTCGTACACGCACACGAACTCAAAACATGATTATTGCAGCTGAAATAAACTTTTTTCTTCTTTTTTTTTTTTGTTGGTTTGGGAATGGAAACTTTTTATTCTGCAGTTTGCTCCTTGTTGTTGGATGGAGACTGAGGGGGAGGAGGGGGAGGGGGGAGGGGGGAGAGGGGAAGGGAAACGAGTCCTGGCGGGATGCATATTGATTGCTCCGCCATTCACTCGACCTGGGAGTTTGCTGCGAATCGAAATTCGGTGCATTATTCATCGGACCTCGCACTCGCCTATATAGTACACACACACATGTACTATATATATATATATATATATATATATATATATATATATATATTCAGGGAACATCGGTGGGAATTGTTTGAATTGTTTGTCTAAGCGAATGTTTGGTCTCGACCCTGAATTGTTTTGCAGGGCTTTAACCAAGGCAAGGACACACACCCAAATCCCTTAATTATTCACTTCAACTTTCAGTCACTGACTAAATAATCACAGCGCCGCACAACCTTGATTTTGACAAACAAGGTGTGAGTGGGGAAATCCCTGATGAAATTTTGCACATACATTTAGTCAAGGTTTTTATGGGTTCAAATTAAATAAATAATAGTCTTTGAATCAATATTTATCGAGGTTTGCTATTCTTGTTATTATTAGGTTAATAAATCTGAATACTGAATTGGAATTTTACAAAATTCAGTATTTTTGTTAGTTTTTCTACATTCTAACAATTATTTAATTAAAATTATTAAAGTCACATAGCTAAAACTGACGTGTTTTAAATAAATTATTAAGTTATAACTGCAATCTGATGCAATTAATAAGTTTAAATGCTGAGTGTTCTTCGCAACAGTGCGTATACGTAATATTGCTCATACGCAGTGAGGTCCAGCTTCCTAAATTCATTTTTATTATACAAATGGAAAACTAAAGGAAACTATCTTTAGGAAGCTAAATTTGCAATTATAATATTAAATTTAATCGAAAAACAACCATAACTAAGCTTAAAATGAATATATTTTTACTGATATTTTTATATGAAAAATTTTTCATTTTATTAAAAATTACAAAATTCATCACTCAGCCAAAAATGCATTAATTTCAATTCGGAAAGCGCTCCTATGCTAGTTTTTATAAGCTTAACAAATCTGCATACTCAATTTAAAATCTGAAAAAATTAAAAAATTTTCGATTTTTTTTTTAATTTTAACGATGTTACCCCTTATAAATTTTTTAAAAATTTTGAAAAAAATAAATTTTTTACCAGACATAGCTAGACCGATTCCCCTGTTGATGCTGATCAAGAATATATATGATTTATAGGGTCGCAAATGATTCCTACAATTAGTTACATATCCTTACAAGGGTATAAAAAAGAAGTCTAGATTTAAGTATTCAAATTTTCTTTATGTATATTTTCCCGGCATTTATAAATAGTGTTTCTCATTGGATTGGCATTGTGCGATTAAAGGCTGTCCATAAAGAAATCCCCCCTGATGTTGTTGTGGTTTTTATAATACACTTGTCAGCGCGCCCTCGCTTTCCTTCCGGCAACCTTGAACCCCAAAGAGGGACACCACCTCCCCACCTCCCCACCTCCCACTATATACTATATATACTATATAGCTTCCTCTCCCCCTCTCCCCTCGACCTGTGGCAAGTGTCTGTCGGTAAATATTTGACCTTCTGCGGCTTGAAGTCTAATTTTAAAACGTTTAGCAGCAATTTTTTTTTTTTGTATAATACGCAGACGATGAATGCCAATGAGTGCACTCATCAGTGTCAAGTGGCGGGGGAAGGCCACGGGTCCTGTGACTCGTGAATAAACAAATGAGTTATGTGGATACTATTGAAAGGATTTAATTGGCAGCGAATGTTTGCCGGTAATTAATCGCATTGAACAAACCACTCAATTTGCAGCAATATGTAATGATGTGTTTTTCTTTTTTTTTTTAAACTAAATTGGATGTGTATACACATAACATATATAGCTTAATCAGATTTAAATCCGTAAGTGCTGTCATTAACCGCTAATTGATATTAATTCAATAGTTTATATGGGTTATTTTCATTATAACATGGAGTAATTCGTGGCACAAGTAATTCTGCATAAATTAAGGGTTTCATTTTTATGCGATAAGTTAATGAAAATGAACATCATTTAATGTATGTACTCAACTTTAACTAAGAATTAGGCTCACTTAGTTGTTAATTAAAATGTACATTTACCCCTTAAATTATCCTTGATTAAAACCTTGCCAAAAAGTAGGCAAAACTTTTTCTACTCCTGTTAGCCCGCCATTTTAAACTACTTTATGGTCCTGCCACCCCATTTTCCCATTTTCTTTTTATTTTCTCCCCTCCCCCCAGAGGAAAGCATCGAAAATCGATAAAATGAGCGCCAGAAAAGCGGGGCGGGAAAAACCACTAAGGGGGGGAGGACGAGGCGGGGACCAGGAGACGTTAAGGCGACAAGGATGTCAGCATAAGTGCCCAACTTTGTCAAACAGCTTAAAGAAGCATTCCTTGG